GAGAATCAACAACTTGTTCCAGGTTGATATCAACAGGTTGATATCAACCGTTCACGGTTGTGCCGCCCACTATGAACAGTATTGTCAACATGTTGTTACAGCATTGTTCAACTGTAACAACTTGGAACAACATGGTTGACAACTTGTCCATAGTTGGCCTCACAACATTGTTCACGCCTGTCGATATCAACTTGGAACAACCTGCGCGTTTTTAGCCGTGTAGCGAAAGGTTCATTAATTGAATTGAATTGATTTAATAACTACTGACTTTGTAACCCAAAAAGGTTAAATTACACCAGTATTACATAAATTAAGAGGATAAGTTAAAATTACATAATAATTACATATTTAAGATTATTTACATTTCTAAAAACTTATTTACTGTTAATCTTTAATATACTTTGAGGTATAAACGAATTCTTAAAACGTTCGGTTCTGCAAACATAATTATGATATTTACATATCGGTCTTAGATCATATCCAGATAAAACTGTTTGTGGTAAAAGATCTTTGAGATTTTCATTGTCAATATTCTTCTCAAAGAAATGTTCGCATAATTTTTCTCGTCGATCTCTCAGTGACGTGATGGTAGTCGTGATCAGCGCTTCGTCGTACTTTTGCGATGGGAGGATTATTCTCAACGCGCGTTTTTGTATTTTTTCAATATCGTCACATAAATATTGTTGGATATTGTAATGCCAGACCTGGCATGCGTACTCTAAAACAGGCCTAATAATGGTCGTATATACAGTAATTAACGTGTCAATACACGCGTTGGACCTTTTTAGCAGTCTTAGCATATAGAGCCTCTTGCTAGCTTTTTTAACTATGTTAGTTATATGTTCATTCCACTTCATGTTATCTTGGACTGTGAGGCCAAGGATACGGGCAGATTTCTCTCGTTCAATATTAACTTTATCGACTGTTAAAGGGGGAAAGCAATGCTTCTTTTTTGCAAAATCAATAACCAGTTCTTTGCATTTTCCAATGTTTAATTTCATATTATTACTCGTAGTCCAATTATTGATGTAATTAACCAGTTCTTGAAGGTTGCTGTTACAATCTGGGCCAATAGTTTCGGTAGTGGTGGTGTCGTCAACGTATTTCCATCGGTCTTTCCAATCAGCGAGGAGATCGTTTATCATGATTAGGAAGAGGATTGGGCCTAAAACAGTTCCCTGGGGTACTCCACCGTTGAGGATTTGCCATTCTGACACACAATGGGGCATTCTGACCCGTTGGCTTCGTTGAGTAAGAAAACTTCTTATCCAGTTTGTTATTAATGATGGAACGTCCATATCAGATAATTTACTGAGGAGGATGTTATGATCGATATGGTCAAAAGCTTTGGAGAAGTCTAATAAAAAAATTCTCACAGCGTTTTTCGGCACATCAGTTTCGTTTAATAAGTGATGGAGAAGGCTCAATAATGCATGTGATGTTGAAGAGTTTTTAGAGATCCAAATTGCCGTTTATCGATCTTCTCACCAATCAACTCCATCAGCCAGTCTGCAACAAAACGTTCACACGTTTTTGACAAAGTGGCAGTAAGCGAGATGGGACGCAAGTCTTTAGTAATGTCCCTCAGCACCTTATTTTTAGGTACAGGGATGACGTCGGCTTTTTTCCATACCCCGGGAACAGACGCCTGTTGAAGGGAGGCGTTGAAGATTGAAGTAACAGGGGAAGACAGCAGGGGCGCATAATCTTTTAGGACCCAATTCGGTATTTCATCTGGACCAGCTGCTTTCGAGGATGATATTGAAGATAATTTATAATAAATGTCTTCTTCCCTAATAATGTACTCGGTTGGAATTGTAGTACAATCGCTTTGTAATTGGCTATCGGGGAAAGGGATAGGACTAAGGGGAGGAATATCTCGAGTAACGGATACGAAAGCCTCGTTAATTTTTTCAGCAAGTTGCTTTCCAGAGACGACTTGCTCTCCTAGGACAATACTTGAAAAAGATTTCTTCTTAGGGTAGCCAGCTATTTGTTTTACGGTGTCCCACCATTTCTTAGGATCAGGGTTACGTTTCAATTGTTTCAATTTATGTTCTAAGAATGCAGATTTAAGGTACTTACTTTCTCGATTGGCACGATTACGTAGTCGCCGGTACAATTTGTCATTTTTCTGAAAAAATGCCTTCTGTCTGTTTTTAATAAGTTCCTTGTATGAAGGTGTTATCCAAGGCTTATCTCGGTCGTGCATTTTAACTACTTTACATGGAAGGAAGTGGTCCAAGCCGGTATGAATAACATCCTGAAAAATTTCCAGTTTTTGTTCGCACGGTGCAGTATGATACAGGTTAGTCCAATTATAGTTCGTTAGCCATCTTCCAAATGCAACTTTGGCACCTCTGTTACCGGGTCTAATTTTTATTTTCTTGCATCCGTTCAATGATTTACATTTTTTTTAAATGCATAAAACGGAATTATGGTCGCTGAGTCCGATGGGTGCGATCACCTTAGGAGGGTCACATGTGTCTGACATATTAGTAAGAATAAGATCAAGGACAGCATCTTTCCTGGTTGGTTGTTTTACGATTTGTTTCAAAGTAAAATGTCTTAATAAAAATGAGACAGGACATCTGTTAAAATCTCCGAGTAAAAATATACCTGCATTTGGGTACTTACTGAGAGCGAGGTCAAGTGTTGAGCTGAGGTGATCTATAAACGCGGCGTTGTCGCTGGATGGAGGTTTATAGGCCACACAGACGATCAAACACGAGAAGCCTCGATTAAGTTTATAAGGTCGTACATAGATCCATAAGGTTTCAAAATTGATGTCATTAAATTCTGTTAGAATTTTGAACGGGATGTCTGATTCAATAAAAGCACAAACTCCACCGCCAAGTTTATCAATTCGATCACATCTTGCTATTGAATACCCGCGAATACAAACTGCTGCATCGTCGATTTTCTCATTTAACCATGTTTCGGTTATGAAGGCCATACTCACATCATATTGGTCAAGTATAATTTTTAATTCATCCACCTTTGGTAAAAGTGATCTTGTATTTGAGAGAAAGAATGTCAGTAAATTACTTTGGGCGCACTTTGGGCTTTGATATAGAGACGTGCTTTGATATAGGGATGGATTCTTGATTGGAATTTCAATTAGATTACGCGTTCCGCTACGGTTTCGTTTGCTAGTATTAGGAATATGTTCATTATAACACGAAGCGCTAGACTGCTGACCTTCGAATTCATGGTAAGATGTAATTCTTACTGGTATAGTGTTTCGTTCTGGTGTGATTATAGTGTTGTTACTAGCTGCGAGAGGGATCTCCAAGTTTATTGCAATGTGCGACGGACAAACTCCAGGTAATTCAACCAGTCTGCCTGCTGGCTGAATCGCGACCGAAAAAACGTATGCCGGTTCATCTTTCCTGTTTCATTCCTTTGAGTCTGGCGTGAGCGAGGCGCATGTGTCGAGTAATTAACAAGTAGGGGCAACCGTCCTATCCAATCAAGGGGTTCGGCCCCACTGATAGGTTTACATGAAGTAGTGCGTCACATTATAGGCGCGCAAAGGAGAGTGGGATATGAGCGTTCTGGTTAGCGCCTGGCCGATCTTGTATAATAGCTGTCGAACATACAAGTAAACAACAGATCTAAATATAAATCCCTTCATGTATATCACCAGAAAGAAATAAAGATATCCTTACCTGAATTATTCAAAATATTGCCGATCGTTTACATTGTGAAAATCAAACATACTGCATGTAAATAAGCTTGTAACTGAAATCCTGAGACGAATCTTGCAAATGCAATACAAAATAAAGTTTCATCGCTCCCTTGTTTAAAAAACGTCTTGTAGCTGTATATTTTTAAAATAAATTGCTCATTGTGATAAAAATACATTGTCATTTTTCCATACCTAGTAAATTTATTATATAAACTGGCTGGCGGCCCCGTAGAACTCTTCAAGTGTTGACATCTCGGAATCATTCAAAGCGTTAAAAGATATCAAATATCATCTGACTGTAATCACATGTTTAATTGAACGATTTGAAATGTTGTTTCCTCAAAAAAAATGGCGAAAAAAGCCTCCAAACTGTTGAAAAACCACGATTTGCAAGAAACAGACGAATTTTGCAAGAAACGGCACAAGATCTCCCAGGCGCTCCTCAATTTTCGATGCCTCAAGCCCATAACTCCCTGCGCTTGTTCGTCATGATGCACTACTTCATGTAAACCTTTCATATAGTGACTCGCATGAAATTTTTTATTAGCGCCTGGGGACGAGGCAGATTGACGGCTCTGAGCTAACTGTTGCTGTTCCTTGCACGATTATGTGCGTGAGGCACTTGCTTAATGGCAATTGATAAAACTAGAATAGTGAAGCGAATAGTGCGAATAGTGCGAATAGTCGACGAATAGTACGAATAGTCCGCGAATAGTCGACGAATAGTGCGAATAGTCCGCGAATAGTCGACGAATAGTGCGAATAGTCCGCGAATAGTCGACGAATAGTACGAATAGTCCGCGAATAGTCAACGAATAGTACGAATAGTCCACGAATAGGCGACGAATAGTGCAACAGAGACTTTGCAAGGCTTTGCAGCAGTGCTGTAGAACTAAATTTACCGGGGGGGGGGCTCTGTTGACAAACATGAAATCGTGAAAACATTCGTCGACGTACGTCAATGACGTCATACGTCTAGTGATTGTCATCAGTGGCGCCGTGGCCGGGGAGGGGGCATGGCCCTCCCCTATTGTTGACACCCGTCGTAAAATTGCCAATGCTGCCGGAAATTGTCGGAAGATTGTCAAGGCTGTCGGAAATTGTCAAAGTTGTCGACGGGGGGGGTGAAGATTTAAAATGTTGTCGTCCGGAAAACTTTTTGGTTTGTCGGAAAAATTTTTCGGTTTGTCGGAAAAGTACTGCCCTTGCCCCCCCCCCAAAAAAAAAACATGGGTCCCACGGCGCCACTGATTGTCATTCTACTTCCTGTTAAATATTTGTTAAAACTCAGTGGTCCCGTAATTTTTAGCGATTACGTATGACGTCATTGACATCAACGAATGTTTTCACGATTTCATGTTTGTCAATAGAGCCCCCCCCCGCCCCGCTTCGGTAAATTTAGTTCTACAGCACGGTGGAAAGCCTTGCAAAGTCTCTATTGCACTATTCGTGGACTATTCGTACTATTCGTCGACTATTCGCGGACTATTCGCACTATTCGTCGACTATTCGTACTATTCGTCGACTATTCGCGGACTATTCGCACTATTCGTCGACTATTCGCGGACTATTCGCACTATTCGTCGACTATTCGCACTATTCGCACTATTCGCTTCACTATTCTAGTTTTATCAATTGCCCTTGCTTAATGCGTAGTCGCCAGGGAGACAAAGGTGTGACCCTTGGTAACGGGCGATTAGTCAGTAATCGACCCTGTTGAAACAAAAGAAACCCGGGCAACTATGCTATTACTTAATTAATGCATCTATAAATAGCGTTGATGCTTCAGGGGCGGTAGTTCATTTACACCCAGTTTTGCGGCAGGCGGTATTTCCTACGTACCGCCTGCCATGCAGGCTATCTCCCTGACGACTACGCATTAGGCAAGTGCCTCACGCACATAATCGTGCAAGGAACAGCAACAGTTAGCTCAGAGCTAGCCTGCTCGCAGGCCGTTGTCAGGCAGAGGCTGCATGGGAGGAACGGCCTGCGACCTTTATTAGTAAAAAGTCGATTTATGCGTACGGAGCGTACGCAAAATTCCCATTGGTCAGAAGTGCCCCATGAGTTAATATCGTGCAAATATTTAACTCGTACGACATTTCGCAATGTATAAAACCATGACTTTGGCGTATAAAACCATGACTTTGGCGTATAAAACCATGACTTTGTTTATCTCTTCGAAGAAGTAACTGAATGTATTTGAGAAACCTTTCAATTTAAATTAACGTTGAAGGATGAGCGAAGGTTAGCAATATTAACTGCACTTCCAACGGGATTTGATAAAAGTTTACATGTAATATACCGATACTTTGTCTTCGTCAGCTATAATAATAAACCTTTTCCAAAGAAGTACAAGGGAAAACTTCGACGTATGCCTTGCTGATCTTTGCAGAGAGAGTAAAATAAGTCTAGTTCAGGCTGACAATTTATCTAACCGCGTTTGCATCGCTTGCGGTTTCAAACGTTGAACAACTTAAGGTTAGCCCAGCGAGACGTTCGTTGAGACACAGGCAGTGAATCAGCTAGTATAAAGCAGTTGATTGTCAAATGCCTCCGAACATTTCTCCCAAATACTTCCCTGTCAACCCAAGGCTTTCTGCCTAAACAATCTGGTCTAGTGGTCTTGAATAAGTCAAGACAATGGGCAAATTATTAATTAAAACAGACGCCGTCGAGGAAAGTCGTTCTTAGAACACCTGGCCAATTTGAATTTACACCTGGAAATTTTGCAATAGTCGTTTGCGTGTTTTTTGACCGAAGTCCGCTCTCTCTTTGAGACTTTATTTTTGGGAGTCTCAACTAGTGACATATATTATTACAACAAGAGCTTTTTACAAAAATGTAGTTATTAAACACGGCAGAATCTATGCCACGGCCACGGGTTTTCAAATTGTCTATTGTCTATTGAGTTAATTGTATTATTGAGCAAATGACAGACTTCACGCAATAATGATTAATGTTGTTTTTTAGCCTGCTATTGTTCGACACTTTTAATAAATAGTGTTTGTTACTTTGTTCAAAACCTAAATACGTTTCCTTAAATCTTACAATTATATTTTGGATATAAATATATAAAATACATTAACTAATAGAGAGTAAAATTTTACGTCTCTGTAGTATAGTTACATAATTTAAAACGGCAATGTACGAACAAGACAGCAATATACAAACGGAACTATGTTTTAAATATTAGAACACTTTAGGGAAAAAACGACCATGAATTATTTTAGATTAAAGTTTAGACCTTGGAATCCTAGTGAAAAATACAGGCGTAAAATTGCGCGAGAAACTGTTTGTTGTTGTTAATAACCTCTGGTAATCTAATTAACAAAACTTGCTTTGATTGGCTACTATTTACCGGATATTCAATTATCTCAAAGGGGGCGTATTGAAAAAATATCAATAAAAGTCGCAGGCTCTATATAATAGAGCCTGTGAGCAGGCTAGCTCAGAGCCGTCAATAGTCTATCATCCGATCCCTGAGTTGCCGCATCATTTAGGTTACGCACGTGCAGTCTCCAATTTTATACTAATATATTTAGCGTTTTTGTTGTGGTACGTTAAATGATAGATTGCGCATGCGTAACCGATTAAAGCGTAAAAATTGCGCATGTGCAACAAGCTTTTACATCCCATAAGCAATGAAGCAAATGTTTTAGCTTAAATACGCTGATTCCAAGTAGGGCATGTTTGTCCATTTTTAAATGGGTGCGCCAACCTCGTCCCCAGGGTCTTCCTCGTGGTGGCGCGTGAGCTGAGGAAGACCCTGGTAAAATACGATGAAATCTCCAGGATTCTTGGAGATTTATCGCATGCGCAGTAACGACAACGTTATGTTGCTGACTACAATTAGCGCTGGCGCTTACGATTTTCTTGCTTAAAAATATACATGTTTTGTTGATTGTTTATGGATTTATTCTCAAAGTTTTAACAACTTTTACGAAAAATACTTCAGATATAAGCTGTGAACACACATGTACACAAAACTGTGCAACATTCATCATCATATTGTATCAATTTGTCGGAGTATGGCGCTCAAATTTGTGACATTGTTTTGTTCGCTTTGGCAACCCTCGTATATATCAGATGACCTCAGATGCTGTTCGGCCTCAAATGCGACTGAATAAACACTGATAGTGTTGCCTGGAATATGAAATGATATTGAATGATTGTTCCGTATATCAAGGTACGTACTGTACATTTATACTGGATTTATTTTCACACGAGTTTCAAACTATTTCAGCTTTATGAACAATGAGATCACATCACTAACATACAGAAAGACTCCATATTTTCTCATCAAATCTGATTATCGTTACAAGTAACAGTAGAAATGCTTCAAAATTTATTCTGTATGTAAAGCAGGCCAGCATGTTTCATTTTCCTTTGGTGGTAGTCACCACTCACCAAGTCAAATAGGCCATTCCATTTAATAGCCCCCCCCCCCCTATTGTCTATTGAGGTCTGGATATCCTATATGAGGATTTTATAGAGGGGGTTTTTACCTTAAATTTTTCTGGAGGGTAGCTTAAGAGATTTCCTAAAAATTAGGTGTTTTAGTGATATCCAAAGGGGCAGGAACAATATCCTAAAGGGGTAGAAAGACATCCATAGGGGTTCCAAAATTGCATCCAATGGGGTTCCAAAATTATTAAAAGGTATTATGAAGAGACCCCTCAATAGGGTGTGGGGGGGGGGGGCTATATTAGATGGAATGGCCCAGTGTGCTGCAACAACTTTTAAAATTTGTATATATGTTTTTAAGGCACAATATGTGATGGAGTTTGATATGATGATCAGCACAACCTGAAGGTCTTGACTGAATGAACAACTTATCTGATATACTCCTACTTCCAATACTTTGCTGTATATTATCACCAGCTCAGATGTCAGTTGGATCACTTTGAATGAACATTGGAGTGGCACAATAAAGTGTCTGTATTAGGGAGGAGTCTATAAGGACTGAAGTAAAAGGCACACTTTTGGATATTAATCTGAATCATAGCAACTACATATACTGTAGGTTTCAAATTAGTTTGAACAATGAACAACTGAAAATAGAAATTTATTTAATTGGAAACACTTAAAGGAATTACAACATATTATATGATAGTCATATGTACATGATTATAGGTATATTCATTAGTTTTACTAGCTGATATTTATGACTATCCTGGGACAACATTTTATTTTTCCCAAGAGATTTTACTTGCATGATAGTAATAAGTTTAATAGTAACAGAGAAGTGTGATGGATATGTGCAAGTAATTATCATTAGAAATACAAAGATTAAACTGTAATTTTGATCATTGTAAATGATTGTATTATTAAAGAAACAAAATACAAAAGTCACACAAGGCTATTTAACATAATACAGTCATAATACTAGACTGGTTAAAGAACTACTGAATAGAGGGATCATGAAAATCTTCTAAGATTACTACCATAGCTCTGTAACAGGAAAAGGTATAGTGAGTTAAGGTTTCTTCACCTTGATGAACAAAATTATATAGCATTAGAAAACTATAATGCCATCAACTAATTCCCATTTAAAAATTTTCATGTTGGTCACTGTGAAATATAATCTTGAGGCCATCTTAATGATTGTTTACTATCTGATTGATGACATGATTATATATATTTCCATGGAATTCAAGTTGTTTTTTTCCCCAAGTTCATGTAAAATATGGTTCACCTGTTAAAATAATAAAATGTTTATTAGTTGTTTTGTAACAGAACAGTACCTGCTTTAAAGAAAATATAGGAAAGAGAAAATTGAAATAACAGTTGTACACTGTATATGGAAAACAGAATAAAATCTTTCTAAGCATTTCTACTACGTACTTTTATCATAATTAGATTAACTGATGAGATAATATGAAGTTTTTCTATATGTTAAAAACTGTGATTTCTGAAGAAGTCTTTCTGTATGTGTGAAATGAAGTCTTGCTGTATGTGTGAAACTGAGTTTATTAGAAAATGTGATTTCCGAGACTCTGAGAAAATGTGAAAGCAACGTGTGAAAAAAATCGAATAAATTCAGTATAAATGTACATTACATACCTTGATATACAGAACAATAAGTCAATATCATTTCATATTCCAGGCAACACTATCAGTGTTTATTCAGTCGCATTTGAGGCCGAACAGCATCTGATATATACGAGGGTTGCCAAAGCGAACAAAACAATGTCACAAATTTGAGCGCCATACTCCGACAAATTGATACAATATGATCATAAATGTTGCACAGTTTTGTGTACATGTGTGTTCACAGCTTATATCTGAAGTATTTTTCGTAAAAGTTGTTAAAACTTTGAGAATATAAAATCCATAAACAATCAACAAAACATGTATATTTTTAAGCAAGAAAATCGTAAGCGCCAGCGCTAATTGTAGTCAGCAACATAACGTTGTCGTTACTGCGCATGCGATAAATCTCCAAGAATCCTGGAGATTTCATCGTATTTTACCAGGGTCTTCCTCAGCTCACGCGCCACCACGAGGAAGACCCTGGGGACGAGGTTGTGGGAGCGCAACTATGCTATTACAAACTAATAGCATGGCTTTTCGGGAGATTAGTGATTAATATGACCCCTTACCCTCGGCAGGTTTGCGGAATTCCCTCGGGCTTCGCCCTCGGGAATTCCGCAAACCTGCCTCGGGTTACGGGGCCATTTAATCACTAATCTCCCTCAAGCCATGCTATTACTTATAATAATCGTTTCAACCCAGGGCTGAAATTATCATGAGTTATTCGAGCATGCGTGGTAGTGACTATTTATTACAAGAAAACAAAATAAAGGCTCAGTTTGCTTCCGCGAATCGATGCCGAGAACGTATAGTATAATGTTTTAACCCCGGGGTTGAAATCGTCCGTGTAATCGCAAAACTGAAAATTCAACCCGGTTAACAGGGCTGAGTTCAACCGCGGGGTTGCAAATGCTTCATGTAATCGGCCCCTAAGACGCTATGTGCAAATCTGATGCCAAGTCCAGGATCGCACACCTTTGACCAAAATATACAAATCTATAAATTTGCTTCAAATTTGCATCCGGTGCTGAATAGCAGTGCCGTCAAGCGATATAATGAATGAATGAATGAACAACTTTATTTATAGATAGTAAAAACACATGACAGCAATATAACTGAAAAACCCGTGGCCCTCGAATGCAAATTTGATGCAATGCATTTAGTGTGTTTTTATAAATTGGCACATATTTCAAAATTTAATTTGACGTTGTTGAGAAGGTAGAAATCGCAAGTTAAATCACATGAGTAGTATTTCTTGAATTTTAGAAGAAAAGTAACGAAATCTGCGGTGCAAACAAGCGGATTTGGGAAGTGCAAACACACGGATTTAGACTTCGTAAGATTTATATTCTAATGATTTATCTTGTTTCAAATTAGTGCCTGAACCCGGGCAACGGAATTGAACGATATCGCGTGCCACAGAATACGGACTATATAATATTTGCTGTAATTTCCCGAATTTAGTGCCAATTTTTTTGCAAATACCACAATTGCACAATAATTTGTTACGATATGTTCATGGGTTGATCGCTTTCCGAACCAGCTTAAGGTAATTCCGCAGTAATTGTTCCCGAAATGAGAATGTGCTGAAACTTCTCAGGCATGGAGTTTATGATATACTTAAAGTAAAATCACACAAAAAAGTCGGGGTCACCGAACTCGTTAAGAAGATATGACAATCACACTATACCGCCTTTACCCAAATATGGCACCATCTTGACGCTCATTACGAGTAACAGCAAAATCACAACAGCCCGATATTTATTGACGTTTTTAACGCGGATTTTGCTTTAGTAAACCTATCTTGTAATTATTTTTGAAAAATATTGTGTTTTCAGCAAAATGAAACTATTAACGTGTATAATTGTGATCCACAAGTGTCTTTTCCACATTTCTTTACATATCTTTCTTTGAGAACATGCATTGAAATGTAAAATGCATTAAAGAAATAAATTATCAGTTAAAAAACGGGGGTCACCGATCTTTTTAGGGAATTGTGGCATTAAAACGTGAAATACAAGTAAATAACTATACTACAGACACAGGGAACCCTAGCTACACTTTTGTATGCCTTTTTTGAAAACATTGATTTTAACGTAATTCTTTGCACCAAAGATGTAACCAGATGTTTTGAAGTGACATAAAATTGTCGTAAAATGATTTTTTTTTAAACGGTACGTATAATGGATGAAATTATAACTTATAAGAGGTGCGCAGTAAAAGTGCGCAATGCAAAACTGCGGAATTACCTTAAGTACTACACAGTACAATGGGAACTCCAAAAATTTTCATTTTCATTATTCTTGGTTCCGACTAATCTATATCGTCACCCTCGGAAAGTAGAATTCTAATAGAAATAAATAAATTTCGGAGCCTCCATTGTTCTTCAATTAATTCGATCAAAATAGAGAAACATGGTCATGTTAGATATTATTTATATCAGTTATTGCACATAACGGAATTTTTTTCAATCCGTAAGTCAGTATTGTCATCAATGCATTATAATAAACATTAAAATATCATTGTAATTGTGACCCGTGTGACGCTAACTTGGGCCAAATTGGTCAAATTAAAGTATACAAATATCATGCAGATGAATGTATATATAACATATAATATGTATATATATAACATGAGTTGAAAATTTTCTTCAGCCATATCTAAAACAAGAGAAAAGATGAAAATATTAAAACAAATGAAATTTTTTATTGAAGTTTTAATCTAAAGCTAGTTCCAATGGCAGGTCAATAACTCAAGAATGCTGAGTCAATCGCTAGTACCAGGTCAGCTGTTCTTGGATGTCGTACGACAGTCCACACTAAACAGCTTGCCATTCACTCGCTGCAGTTGAATAGCTGTTAAGCCAAGAGTGAAGCTCATTGTCTATACTATGCGAATTAGCTCTCACCAAGCAAAGTGAAATCCGTTTTAGTCTTAAGAATACAAGAATTCATAAGAATCGTGAAGCAATCGATCGCAGGCCAAGTGATTATTTATGACGCAATTATCGAGAAGGTGCATTTACGAATTAGTGCAAAAAAACAGCAACGTATGACTCAGTTGAGGTAGATCATGAACTTCCAATTAAGCCATTCGAGTTAAGCCCCGCTATCTCGCTCAGTCTTAACTCGAAGAAAGAAACACAATTTGATGATTGAGTTTATCCTGACGTTTCGAACCATGCAATCGATTCACAGAGCGTACAGAGTACGTAGCGTCCACTGGACACAAAACGGACTGGCAAAACATGGAAAAATCGATCCGAAATATAACCGAAATTCTTCAAACCAGCTGCCTGACATTTTGCGTCGTTGTAATATTACTACATGTTTATCGCGTTAATATGTAAAACGAAGCAACAGGTGATGAGTACATATGCACTTATAGTATAAGTTTGAATTGGTCAGAATGAAGGTTTTCCACTGCTGCATGAGCATGGTTCTCAATCTCGTTTCCAAGGCCTAATGTTGGAGCCCACTTGTATAACTAAATATGCGCTTCACTGCATAACAAAAAATAGCAAGTGCCAAACGCAAGTATTATAGTTGTTTAAAGACTGCACGTACCATATCTTCCCATACTATATAAACTCTCCTGAAGAAGGGCCTGGCCTCGAAACGTCGGGAATTGTCATGAAATCACCAACATGAGCTCCATCTTTGAATTTACTATATGAGTAAATTCTTAAACACGTCCGAATTTATCATTATGATAAATTCGCGGCGCATTTTGAATTTTTTAATAGAGTTAATCATAAAACCACAATCATTGCACAAGGTTTCTTGTTATAAATGTAATGTTTTTCATGTTTTTTAAAAAAATAGTTTTTGAATTAAAAAAGTTTTAAAAAGTTTTAAAAGAGTTTTGAAAAGCAAGAAAAGTTTAAAAAGTTGGATTTTTAAAAAAGTTTAAAAAATTTAAAAAGTTAAAAAAATGAGGGTTAGTGGTTAGTGGTTAGTGGTTAGGGTTCGTGTTAGGTGCCGCGAATTTATTATTATGATAAATTCAAAATTTGCCGCGAATTTATCATAATGATTAATTCGGACGTGTTTAAGAATTTACTCATATAGTAAATTCAAAGGTGGAGCTCATGCTGGAAATCACACCAAAGTTATTCTACGCTCTGGCCAACATTTCTAGAGACTTATATACTGAAGTATATTATACTAAAACTATGAGTATATAAAAGCTAGCGTATAATAATGGCCTGTTTACACTTGCAAATTTTGCTGCGATTTGTAGTGCGATTTTCTGCTTCAGATGGATGTACCTGTATATGTATCTTCATCTGAACATTCATAATCCATCCACTCGTTCACATCAATATAATCAGAAGAAGAAAATCGCACTACAAATCGCAGCAAAAATTGCAAGTGTAAACAGCCCTTTAGAGGTCAAAACATGTTAAGTTCAGTTACCATCATGAGCTACAGATCAAAACTATGAATGATGTCCGGAGTGTTTCTATACAACACAGATGACATCCCTTAAAGGCCCTGTCACACTATTGCGTATGAGAGAAACGTATGAGAAGCGTATGAAAATTAATGAAATAATTTTCATACGCACAAAAATCCTTCGAAATGCCAGCGTATATGTACCCAGAGGCGTAGCCAGGGCTGTGGCCGGGGAGCCCGGCCCCCCTGGCAAAATTTTGCCCCCCCCCTGGCAAAATTTGGGGGGCCCCGAAAAAATGTATTGTATAAAAAAGGGAATCCTTGATTATACAGCTTCATGCTGTCAATAATGCAAAAATTCTGTAGAATATATGCTTTGCTGAGCAAACCTAAAATCTCGTTCGCTTATTTGCGGCACACAGCTTGAAACACCATACCTTTTCTAACCCTAATTATTTCAATATGTATTAAATGAGGGTTAGATGAAGTTTAAACTAATCTTTTTTTTTACAAGTGAATTTTTAATGCGGGTTTGGCAGTGGCGCCGGAGGGGGACACACGTCAGAAAATTGAGACCCGTCGAAAAATTGTCAATCGAGAGTTTGAGCAAGACAACGAAGACGAAGGCGTACTTGCCAATTTTTGCCGTCTGTACATTATCTTGCGCATACTGAGTTTGACGTCACTGGTGGTTGCTCAACGTGTCTTCCCATGTGTCGCTGTTTATGTATACTTACCCTAATTCTTGCCCTGACCTTCGTTCGGAACGAAGTTCACAACGAATTTTGCCAAAATATTTGCGTTGTGAACGAAGGCAGAAGAACGATGACGAGATATGAGGCCGGTTTACACGACCAGTGTTTTGGGCACGGCAACCCTAAAAATGGGTAACCGTGCCCAAAATTTTGGGCACGGCACCTCTGACTTTTGGCGCCTCTGCCTTTTGGCACCTCTGCCTTTTAAACGTGCCGAGACTTTCTCACGAGGCAGTCTCGGCACGTCTAGCAAGCGGTGCCGTGCCCAAATTTCGAAAAAAACAAAAAATGTGTTGGACATCGAGCATGCGCAAAACAAATTGTCCTCTTTCCAACATGGCAGCAAGCGGCGAAAAAATACAACTTGCCAAAAAGTAAAAAATAAAGTTAAAAACAAATTTAAATAATACAGAATTTGAAATATGTTGCTCTAGTTACTCGGAAATTTTGATACCACTGTTCGTCGCTGAATAAAGTATGCAGTAACTAGGTCGTAGCAAATGGCTGTCCTTCGATGCGTCCATATCTCTCGAATTCGTGGCGGGTGAATACAAGATAGCACAACATTTACACGAAAAAACAACTCCTTTCGTCTTTAAGGGCCTGTTCATACGGGCAAAACTTATCCCGGTTAACGAGAAAACTTTTCGACTAGCCAAATGCTTTTGTTCTGTTCACATGGCCTGGAGAAACGTTATCCCGCTTACCGGGTAAAGTTTCCGGCTGCAGTGACATAGCACTGAACATCAATTGAATTGAAAAGTTGCTGACACGACAGAAAGTTATCCTGCTAAGCGGGAAAGTTGTGTTCACATGGGAAAACATTATCCCGGTCACAGAGATCTGACTTGTCAACAAGCGACATCTCGGTTACACGGGAAAACTTTTTGTCTTATATGAACGCAGTGTAACTTTTCATATTATTTTCATACCAAGGCGAGATCTCGCTTGTGAACTTGTCGAGAAGTTTCCTCGCTAACTAGGATAACTTTTTCTCATATGAACAGGCCCTAAAAGTACTTTTCTAGTATTGAATTGTTTAGTTTTTTTCTCGATATTCGGCTCATATAATACTCTTCTTCGTTCCAATAATTATAAATATATAATTCTATTTCTGTCCGACATCTTTATTCTTTAAAATATACCGTCGTAAACGGAAAGTAGAGGTGCCGTTTTCCGATTGGCACGGTTCTTATCATAAAAGTGTGCCTACAAAAAGTTGTCGTGTAAACGAGTTGTCGTGTAAACATTCTTTCGTGGAAAAAACAAAAAATACTGCCCAAAAAGACAAAGATGTGATAATCAATATCGGAGTTATGAAGTATGACCGTTATTGTGCAGATTCCTCAACTGCCTATACGCCAATGAGGGGAAAATCATTGCCGCTGAAAATAAACAAAGACGCAAATTACGCTTAACTTTTGATAGCAGCATTGACAAAAAGAAAGGCATATGATCAGTCGTTCAATGAAAAGCTGGACTGGGATATTGTGTACCCAGATGGACAGAGTGCGTCAAGTTTACCAGGGCAACCTGATACACCTTTTTGCCTTAGTACCTATAAGGAGGATCTTGGAAAGAATTATTCCAGAATAGCTTTATATCTCTGCACAGAAAATTCAGATGAAAACAATGAGAGTGTCGAGGAAGATACATTCGATCGTATTGGTACGTCATGTAGTGATGGCAAGGAATCACAGTCAAATGAGTCAATCGATATGGAAAGTAGAGAAGAAATGGGAAGCAACAAGTAAGTTATTCCTTATTTTCCAAATATAGAATTCATAAGTCCCTATAAAGTCCAAACCTTCTTGTAATATCCCATCTGTCAATGGAAACCCTTGAATGGTTGTCACAGGGGCGTAGCGTGCGGTGGGGGGGTGACCCCAGTTTTAGTGAGGTAGTCGGTAAAATGCGAAGTTATTCGGTAATGGCAAGAGCCATGACAGCAGTCGGTAAAACAAATCGGTTAAAGTGGAATTTTGCTCCTCGGTAAATGGCTTTTAATAATAATAAAAAATTAAATTAATGTTGTGCCTTGTTCTCCAATAAAGTTATGCAAAATGTACGTAATTCTTCAGTATTAAAACACTTATATTAAATATCTACGCATAAGCATTGGAGCCCCTAATTTCCTATCGTATTACACTTGCAAGAGCTGCGAAAGCAGTCGGTTCTGATTGGACATGTTCAACTGTGCGCGAACTTTTGACCTTGATACAATGATACGCAAAAGAATTAAAGATTATATTTATATATTTGTTATTGACACGCGGTGCTCATAACTTGTTTCGCCAATTTTTCAAGTCTGTTCATTACAATAAACAACAAGATAAATGCCATTGGGTAAAATGGCTTATCGCGAAGTAACAAATACAACAATTATTCCAATTAATAAAGCGTTTGCTACGTTTCTGGTTCTACGTTATTTCTAGACGGCTGACTAAAGTCACGGTAAGTGTCATTAAATTAAACGCGCGCCGAAATATTTATTTGTCAATTGCTGTATAGCTGTTATGGTATATGGTATATGTAGCGTATAAGGAGCGGTCACGGATTCTAAATTCTAATAAAACCTCACGGTGAGCTCACACTCACAGTCTCACAGCTTGTTAATATCTGACGGATTCTCACGGATTTCGAAAATAACACAACTTCAACACAACTTGTTTGATATAAATAAAAGCTACCAAACCTTGTGTGTATAAGGTACAGAAGGCTCTGAAAATGCCATTTCCAACGATCTAGAGACTCCATATTTTCAAAAATTTTCCGCTCGGCGCCAACCATGGTGGCGCCTCGTGGCGCGTGGGTCGGTAAAACTTAGATGTTATACCCCCCCAGTTAAAAAGGTCATGCACCGCCCCTGGTTGTCAAGTTGTCATGTAAGCATACAGGGGTTGGGAGGGGGTGGGAGTCAGCAGCCTCTATTTTGTCAGTAAGTGTCATGTATGATATTAATGGTAAATAAACAAATCTGCAAATTGTATTATTCTTACACTTACCTACACAGGCACACAACATTCAAGATATTATCATTTGTATTCTTATGCACAAAATTTTATGTTTTGGCTTTGGGTAGGATATTTAATTATACCCTGACTAAACTAAAGCTATTGTACACTGTATCCTGTGTCGCTGCAAGAAGCACATTTCTTTCATTATTATCATAATTGTTTTAATTAAGGAGTGAAGTTAGTCACGTGAGCACAAATGTGGACAGAGATTCGTCCAACACAGTTATATCTGTCCAAGGAATGTCACCAACGAATCATGGAGAAGGCCCAAGCACATCAACAACGACCCCAACTGGAGATTTTGATTGGTTGTACGCATCATGGTTGTATGATGAGGTAGATCTTGCTGGTTATGAAAGCATGAGTGATGTGGAAATGGAAGTAGGCCCAAATGACGAGTCTTCCAATTCCCAGCATTCCACTGTGTCACTACCTGATATACTTAAAAAACTATCCAGTGTTATTAATTTAGATTCAATATCAAAATTCAACATTAGTCGCCATGGGCGTACCGGAAGGAAAAAAATAGGGGGGCGGAAAGAAAATTGCCCGACTTTTCGGGATTCTGCCCGACTACTACCAAAAATTTTTTTCCGGAAAAATTATTTTGGCAACCTCCCCCCCCGTCGCCAAAAAAATTTCGGTCAGTGTACCATTTTAGGGGTCAAAAAATTTTCCGGAGAACCAATATTTTTCGGAACATAACACAAATTTTCGAAAAATCACAAAATTTTCCAAAAAATTTTCCATTTTTTTTATTGCAAACCAAAATTGCCCAACACTAGTTCAGCAAACTGTTAAATGGTTCTTACTTGGCAGGTCACATTTTTCACAAGAGCAATTTGTACAAGGGCTGTCTGTGTTAGGAATTTATGATTCTATCTTAAAGAATTCTGAATCATTCCGCCCAGTTTTTTGCTACTCACCTCAGCAACTTAATGCTGAAATCAGTTCGCATCTGTTTGAAACTAATTTTAGTGAGGTTGGCTCTAATCGGCATTGCTCTGAATCACTGGTCATATCACATTGGAATGATTATTTGTTGGATGTTGAAGAGAGGGCAGAAACGGAGGTCACATTCAATGATATTCTGTTTTTTGCTAGTGGATGTAAAATTATACTACCATTTGGTATAAAACTGTCTTTAGAGTTTCTACATCATGCTGAAAAAAATGGTGAAATGTCCAAATTCCCAAAGGCTAACACATGTGCTTGCATTCTTTATTTACCTGTCACCCACAGCTCATATGATAAGTTCAAAGAAGCCCTTTCGTTTGCATTTCTTAACACCCGTGGGTTTGGTGAGCCATAAGGGGCGGACCATTAGAAATCCCGGGAGGGGGGAGGGGGGGGGGGTGTGAAAATTCCCAAAAAATAGTTTGTGCAAAGGAAAATGCCTGGGAAAAAAATTCGTGCAGCCATTACGTCAGAGAAAAAAAATTCGTGCAAGCAAACAACGAAGTACAAATAGTCTTGAAAAAATATTCGTGCAGAGACAAAGACTGAAAAAAAAATTCGTGCCGCAAAAATTTTATACCCCCCTTCCGGGATTTCTAATGGTCCGTCCCTAACCTAGCAGAGTATCAACATTTGAAATTGCAAACTTACAAACTTGAATAGTTACATAGCAAACATACAAACTTGAATAGTTACAGTTTCCAGACATTGATATTGTATAGAGTAGTTATGTATTAGTATATCATACAGTATTATATAATAATACCTTGGAACTTGGTAGCTGTACAATTTTGTACTGCAGTGAACATGGGTGGTGTGGTGCCAATACAAATCAAGAGATGAAAAAGCCTGATATTTATATTTTTATATATTGTAGGTCTCGGTTTTTTTGTAGCAGTTCTAATCATTGTCGTGCTACTGGGTACAATGAGAATCTCAGATGAACACACTGAGAAACAAAAGTTTGAGTTAATGAGACTTCCAAAAAAAATTGAGTTCTTGTTGAGGTTTCAACAGATGTTTTGACCACTAAGCCTCATTTTTGTTATAACGGTAACATGCAAGTGAACAGGAAAGGTTTGGTAGTAAGAACACTAACTTGCTTGTGAAAACCCCCCATAAGCTTGGTCAACCTCGTACCCAGGGCCTGCCCGCCCTATAAAATCAGGCGGGTAATCCCTGGGTACGAGGTTGAAGCTTAGCCCCATTCTTTCTGGAGATATGCCATGCCACCTTATCTACCTACCTTACATAACTTGTAATATGTTTAGTTGTTCATATTTGTTAAAGATTTCTGTTAAAATAAAGGTCATGTCGTACCATGTTGACATAAAGAATGCTTTTTGTTGTCCCGTTTTAATCAGTTAATGGAGACCATTGACCAATAGCAGGGGGTGATGATGACTGATGAGTTTCAGATGTAATAATTTCATTGGTTTGTCTATTTTAAGTATTGGTTAATGTTTGATGACATTGGTGTATATAGAATAAATTATTAATAATAGTATAACAACAAGTTTTAGAATGAAAGTTCAGTATTTCGATTTGAACCCTTTTCCATTAACGCACCTTGAAGTTGAATGCATACAAATAATAAACAAATCCTGCTCCCTCACTAGCCTCATAGAGAAAAGGCAAAACTGAACTATGTACTATAGCAATAATCAAACATCAACTCCATTGTTTGCCACAGTGACTAGATGTGTGTAAAGCTGCAATGCTTCATCCCAATTTGATGGTTTAACGAAGTCCGTTTGCGATCTTGTATATTCAAAGTATTCCTGATACATGTTGCTTTCTGGGTCCTCGCAAAATTCCTGCATGTCATTTATCTGCTCAATCGAAACATTCTGTAAGAATTCACTACCGCCATGATTGACAGGAAGATGATATAGCTCATCGGGGCGGCCTGCTACGCCGCTACGGCAGGGCCTTTTTTAAGGATTTTCCCGTGGGGGGGCATTTTTTGAAAAGGGACCTTTCTGTGAGACAATATACTACAGGGTGATAGCAATGGCTGAAGGCCATGTGTGCGCCGAACATACCATGCACGCATGAATGGGGGGGGGGGTGTACTCCCCCAGAAAATTTTTGAAATTTGAAGCACGGAAATGCCATTTCCTGCATTCTGAGCATCCAAATGCGCTCCAAAATGTATACTAACTATACTTGTATTTGAAATAAAAGAAGGAAAAAACCCACAAAAAGTAAAAAAAAAAAATTAACCATAATTTATCATTACTTATTAGAGGAGGATCCCAATGGTCATGTGTGTGGGGGTGTACTCCCCCAGAAAATTTTTGAAGTTTGAAACACGGAAATGCCATTTTCTGCATTCTGAGCATCCAAATTTGCTCTAAAATTTATGCTAACTATACTTGTATTTGAAATAAAAGAAGAAAAAAATGCGCAAAAAGTAAAAAAGAATATTAACCGTAATTTATCATTATATATATTTGGGGGGGGGGGGATACCGATGGCCGAAGGCCACATGTGTGGGGGCATAATCTCCAGAAAATTTTTCAAATTTGAAACCTGGAAATGCTCTTTCCTGCATTCTGAGCAACCAAGAAATAAAAAAATATTAACAGTAATTTATCATTACTTAGTGGTTGAAAAACGTAACAATTTAGATCGATTTTGTTAAACAAGGACAAAGGATAAAGCCTAAAACTTACTTTCCGTTTATTTATTTGTTATTCTTCGTATAAATTTAGGAAAAAGGGACTTTTCCTGGGGGGGCAAAATGTGATTTCGTGGGGGGGGCACAAGGGGGGACTGGGGGGGCAAATGCCCCCCCAGCTTGTATGTTAAAAAAGGCCCTGTGCTACGGTGTCAAACCTCGATCTTCTCACATAGTGACTATTCCAGTGGTCCTTCACTTCGTCAAAATCATGTTGGAGCCATAAAATACGTCGGCTGAAGCCATCAATACAGCCATGCACTGGAAAGCCGTAAGGCTTGAGCTTATCGTATCCGTCAACGTGCCACGCGAAATTCGGACCGGGATTGATGTAACGACGACGTTTTAAGCGATGTGAGCGCCGGTCATCTGATCCCTCTGGATCCAGCGCCCGAAGGATGCGCTGCACCATGCTTCTCGGTGCTTGAATGTCATATTTCAAACGAAGGCAATGCCACATTGATCGATAACCACGTAAGCAACCTGGGCCATTCAGTTCCTCGTATTGCCGCGGTAACTTCTTCCTCGTCGATCAGCATCAACATTTCGCCTTTTTAAACCCATGCTTTGCAACCTGCTTTTCAATGTTCGCAGAGACATTTCAATGTTATGGAACTTCCTTAAAAATGACAAGATAGCCGAGTACTCGAAACCTCTCATAAAGTAATGTGCGATAATATCTATCTCGGTCAACATATTTCCACAGTTTGGACAGAATTGAAAAGTATCAGATACATCTGATCCGCAATTTTGGCACTTGAAGTTCATTATTTGACGTTAATTCAAAGCTTTTTTCAACATTTTTATTTGTTAAATCGACTTTCCATACCTTTAAATTTAATCTTTCTTTGCATTGTGATGACAGTAAGATGGCGGAGTAAAAAAAACATCAGTGCCAGTGGCGGTCAGACCGGCTGGTCATGCCACTTTCCCGCGCTTTCCCGTGAAAGTTGTGCATCGTGAATTGAGTTTTGTGAAGTGGAATAGAGTTTTGTGTAGTGGAATTGAGTTTTGTGTGTCGTGAATTGAGTTTTGTGTAGTGGAATTTTGTTTTGTGTATTGTGAATTGAGTTTTGTGTAGTGGAATCGAGTTTTGTGTAGTGGAATTTTGTTTCGTGTAGTGGAATTTTGTTTTGTGTAGTGGGATTTTGTTTTGTGTAGTGGAATTTTGTTTTGTGTAGTGGAATTTTGTTTTGTGTAGTGGAATTTTGTTTTGTGTAGTAGGATTTTGTTTTGTGTAGTGGAATTTTGTTTTGTGTAGTGGGATTTTGTTTTGTGCATTGCTGACTTGTGGGCCACCGTAATATATTATAAGACTATCGAACAAATAAAACTAGAAATGGAAACCAAAAGCAATAGCAAAGCATCACAGCAAAAAAGTCTATCATAAATGACTTGTATCTATCGCTTAAATCCAATATACGAAACTATAACAGTATTCTGAACTTCGTCTTCGAATTGACATAAGACTATAGTATAGTACATTTTGAGGTCGTCGTGGCTTCACGGATTATTCTCATTAGTGAGCAAGTCAGCAAGCGAAGGCATACAAAAGATACCCAAATATGTACGAATAATTATATTGTTGATCCTCGCTGGCATGTCATTTAGATAAATATATATCGTACATTAAACGTTGTACTATTTACTGTATAAACTGCTGACAATTTCGTCGTCGATACGGCTTCCACTATTGGCACACTCGTGATTTGTTTTAATGTTTTAATTTCGAAGAAATTAATAAATACATGCTCATTTATCATTTATTTAGACCACAGTTAGTAAAATTTTAGACGTATTCGGTATTCCAAATCCCAATCTATCTGACCGCATTTTAGTAATAGCCAGGGCCGCCCAGAGGGGGGGGGGCAAAGGGGGCAAATTGCCCCGGGCCCCGAGTTGCTGGGGGCCCCTGAAAAATTTTTGTAGGGCCCCAGCCTTTTTTGTGTGTTAAATATCTCCACGCAAAGGACAAAATATCTGTTTTCTTGGACTAAGTACCGAATTTTGGCATAAAAAAATGAGATCAAGTCCCTGGAAAGCAATTGCAACGTACTCGTCCGGCAAAATTTTGTACTCCGGAAAATTTTTTTACCCCTAAAATGGTACACTGACCGAAACTTTTTTGGGAAAACCGGAAAAATTTTTTTGGATAGGGGCCCCTAAACAAAATTTTCCCCGGGCCCCCGCCAACCTCTGGGCGGCCCTGGTAATAGCTTCAAATATTCAGAGCATTGTTCTTTCAGTCGCACATAGTACAAGTATTACTGTACATTCAAAGCCAATGGTAGTATTTTATTCGGCTTTATATTTGTATGTGTATTGATATCTATTTAATATTTGAAGAATTCTATATTTTTCCGAGTAATATATTGTGCGGCCCGCTAATGCTTTGTATTATTGTTCATATATACATTATGTATACATTTTAATATTCATTGTTTCTTCGTTGCACAATGTACACGCCTTGCGTCAATTTGACAGTTGCCAGTTTATTTATCGCAGTCGACGCTGATTGGTTCGCGTTTAGCAGATGCGAAAAGGGGATGATTGGATAAAACGCATGGTTCCGTGCAGGCTCACCTTTCTCCCAGTGAGCCTGTTCGCAGGCTACAAAGATTTAGGAACCATAATATATTGCAGAATATGAAACCAATTTAGTATAAATATTTATAAATATTGTGTTTTCAAAACTATACTGCAGGCTCGTAGCCCACCTGTGTTACACTTCATGTAACATATAGTATATTTCCAATATTGGCCTGGTCGCCATTTCATATTTTTCTACAAACTTTTCTTGATCGACTTCATTCAGTTCATTGTTTCTTCGGTTTACACTGAAGAAGTTATGCCACCAAAAAGAGCTAGGGTTTCAGCAGAATGCGCAATTGCAAATATTATGCGATTTATGGAATATAAATATGACAACAATGACAGTGTCACAGTGATGATGGTGAAATCACTCAGTGATGTTGAAAATGATTTGGATTGTTTATATGGTACAGAAATGCCGGCTTGTAAAGAAAAATGGTGGTGTTTATGGACATCTGAGGTATGCCATAACATAAAAGTATGTCTTTTGAATGTAAAAGAACTAAAAAATTATCACATCCAAAATGTTTTTTTTATCTCTTTACATAAAATAACCAAAATGGGTAAAATATTAGTAATATTCGCCATTTTTTGACAGGCGGTCGTATTCAATGGGGCCAAAAAACAGCATTTTGGATTTGAATTTTACTTTTTTGTTATTTTTAAGTTAAAGAAAGATAAAACTTATTAAAAATAAAACTGATAGGATAATGGCAATTACTCAACAGAATTTTTTAGCCCTATCAGCACAACCCAGGTCATGTCAACATGAATAAACCCGGGTAAGCTTATCGTTTTATGACGGAGTATGAAACATTGAGACCGTTATCAGGGGCGAAACTTGAGGGGGGTATGGGGGGGTGTTACACCCCCACAAAATACGAATCATCCCGATTGGCAGGGCAATCAAAGTCTCTTATAAATAAATGATAGCACATAGGCGTACCGGGCGGGGGCAATATTCGATCAACAGTCGGGCAATTTTGGTTTGAAAATTTATCTAAAATTTTATTTTCAATTTTATCTAAAATTAAGTGAATCTTTTCGCAAATTGTGTGATTTTTCGAAAATTTGTGTTATGTTCCGAAAAATATAGGTTGTCCCGAAAATTTTTTTGACCCCTAAAATGGTACACAGACCGAAATTTTTTGGCGACGGGGGGGGGGTGGGGGAAGTCGCCAAAATAATTTTTCCGGAAAAAATTTTTTGGTACTTTTTGGCAGGGCATCACTGGTTTTGGCAGGGCAATTCTGCCAGACACCCCCCCTAATTAAAAGGGGCTAGATTCGCCCCTGACCGTTATCTTGATGGGGTACCAAATATTATCCGACAAGTTTGTGGGGGTATGAAATTTTTTCACAAAATTAAAAATATCCTCCGCCCAGGGGTAGCACTTACTTTATGACCGCTCCCTAAAAACGTTTTTGATACGTTTCGGTACGGTACGCTTGAAGTGGAAAACCGGCTTTAGTGTATATCAGTGGGTTTAGCGAATGACAAAAGTCCCACTGTCCCAGAGTGTTTTATCGGAGATGGTCATATACAAATGAATAGCCGACTGTTCAACCTGCACGAAGCTTTCGCCCGTGACTGACCAACCTGGCAACGCTGTTTGGTTGTGAACATGTGAGGTATGCGAACGAGATAGCCACAATAAAACGTCACAGAGAAAACTACAAAAACACAGCGTTTAGATACGATATAGTACTTGCAAAAATCGGAATTAATCAGATTTTGTCATGGGAAAACATGTAATATGATTAGGACACAACTAGTAGGTGCCAATAGCGATATACATTAAATTGTAAAGTTCGTGCTCATTTCGGTCTGTATGAATCTTGTTGTTTCAAGTTCGATAGTCGATGAGTAAATGCCAATAAACCCTCGACAAAGCCTTGCTTTGTATATACAGCTATTTTTCCACGAGCAAAGCGGAAAAGTCGATTACGAGCGCGAAAGGCTGCTGGGAATCGCTAAAAAATCCCAGCATTCTTTCGCGCTCGTATTCGACTTTTCCGCTTTGCTCGAGGACAACTTGAAACAACTGTATACCATGGAACAGTAATATGATACCGAATCATATGTTAATGTTGGAAGCATCAAAAGATTGGGGGGGAAAGAAATTTTCCGGTCATACCATACCGAATGCGTACAATAGACGTTTTTGACCAAATTATTTTTAAAACATCGAAATTTCCGAACAAAAAGGGCACCTTCGATGTTAATATAGGATTTACAGCGACATTCATCACAAAAAAGGTTTGGTCCTTTGAAAAAATCAGGGGGAGGGGGCACGTGCCCCCTGGTTCCTACGGCCAATTTTGTTTATATAGACCTTATATGCATGACATTTTCCTGTTGTGCGTAACTTCCACTACCAGAATGCCTCGCGAGTATCTAAGTATAAAAAGATAGCAAATTCTCGCAAAGCATTCAGGTAGTAATTTCACGCACGCAAAAAAGCGTCATGCACGTGTATTGCAGAAAATCATTCCAACAAATCTTTCCATCGCTTATCTCCTGTATATATTTCATTTCCCTTAAAAACCACACAGTATTTAATTTACGTAAGTATTCCTAATAATATTTATTACATATGCTTTAAGCATTATAAGACTAATCTACAATACCACATGCTGTTTAATATATAGCATCAAATATATAGTTTATACCCTCATTTACCTCCTATATAGTTGGCATAGAACCAGGTCAAAAACACACGAAGCAATTTTCATGCCGAATCATCGGGACATGCAAAAACATCAATTGACCAACACTTTAATTTGCGATAGGCCTAATTACAATTCAAACAATGCTCATTTCCAATCCATACACAATTGTATTCTTTATCTTTTCCCCATTCATTCAAATGGCAAGATACATTTAGACCCCGTTTACACTAGAGCGAAAGATTCCGGATTCATGACAAAACCGAAACGTTTTGGCATCGGATTCATACAGGAGTTTAGACATACAGCGACGAATCCGGTGGAAAATCATCTCGGTTGTAGGACGTATCCGAAAACTTTGAATCCGGGAAAAAAAGTAGAAACTTTGTATCCGGAAACATTTGAATCCGGAGAAAACTCTCGTGTAAACGGCTTTCCGTAAAGAATTGAATCAATTTGTTCCGGTGTATGTTTTTCAAATGTATTGCTATTAAATTCAACCGGCAAACAGGGTCAAAACATCGCATAATATCACTAAGAGGGTTAAAATTATATACGATATATTGACCATCGCTGTGTCGGGCTGTGTAGCGTAAACGCCTCGCGGATCCGTATACTTGAAAAACAAGGAATCCGGATACTTTTACAAATCCGGAAACTTTTGCTCTAGTGTAAACGTAGTCTTAGCCGGACAAAATGTATGACAAATTGTTATTTCACCAGACGATTCGAAGATCTGTCTATGTCCTACATTATTTTCCTCTTGAAAATCAGATTGCCGAATTCTATACGCCTGGTGTGTCCTTGGTGGCCTGTATGGTAAACAGTATTCACGGTTATATAGTGCATATATTTAAAACTAACCATTTGGCAGTGCGAATACATCAAATTTCTAAATTCTGTTTCTAATATAGTACAATTCATGTACATGTCCATCTAAAACACGGAAACTACATTAAAATTCTACAATAAAAACCATATTCTATAATGAATATACCACCTATAAACCATACTATATAATACATTCGTCAATATATTTCCTTTATATACTATAAATTCTACATTACATTTCTATGCCCCAACACCATCAATTTACCGTATATATAATAATAAATAGTGGGCAGTTTATCGAATGACAATTATCATTCAGTAAAAAATGGTTTCTGTATAAATAGACTGGCGGCTGCCAAAATTCGGGGCACCTTTGGAACCAAAACAGAAAATACTTTATGGTTGGCGAATGCGTACTATACTGTTTTGGATCGCTACGTGAATGGAGTCACCCTGGTGAAATAAAGCGAACGAACAAACAAACAAAACAGGTAATTCGCTTAAGCTGTCTGATCAGAAGATACCTTTTTCAAGATAATTTCCAAATTAAAATCGTCATACAGGGTGCATAAAAAAGGCAATCCTATTTAGCGTGCTTTTCTGCCTTCCAAATAGCATTTATTTCAAACAGTTTTGCACTCAAAATGGTGGAAAAATGCTATCTAGACAGGCATTTGTTTTCGATTCGTATTTGCATGATATTTTCCTTTTAGGTATCACTGGACAGCTTAAGGCCCAATTTTTGTTACTGTGTAAAAATTGCATCGATAAACACACAATATCTAAAGCACGAGTACATGCTAAAATTGGATTACCGCGAGTAAAATTGTTTTTGCTAAGACGTCCTTGCAGTCTTTTAGAACTTGCTTATATTTAATAAGTTCTTTGATAAGTTTTTTTATTTGCTTATATTTGTTTGCCAAATGTCGTGAATACACAGACAGCCTTGCGCAGGTCAAGCCTTGCGCAGGTCAGACATAGGCCAATAATCACAGTGGACCTATATGTTTTGGGCCAAGTAAGTTGAGTCAACAACCTTGTAACAAGTTGTCGACAAGCCGTTAACAAGTTGTCAACAAATCTGGGAAGCAGTGCGAGGACATTCTGAAACAGTATTAAGTACAAGTCTTCTGCAGGGTTGTTACATGTGTAGGTCAAACTTTGTTTGCACCCCTAAAATGTAGGCCAATGCCAGACCTACCTAATGAAAACCCTATCCCTAAAAATTCTAACCTTCTCGTGCGTGAAACACAAGGATATAACCAAAAATTCCGAACTGGCTAATCCGAAGAACCCAATCGGCCAAATATGTTACAAATAAAATTTCTAAACTAGATAATTACCTCTACTTTACTGCTTGGTGTTACCCAAGACACCTTTTCTAGGTGTTTATCCTAAGCCTAAGGACCGCATGAAACAACTATTGATACATAGGTTGTAAAACGTGACTCCCGGGCCTCATGAGATATTGCCGATGCGCATTTAGATGACCTCCAGGTTGATTGTGCCTCATGGAAATATCAGGGGACGGGGGAGGTACAAACGCAGGACCGGGGATTGCGTAATTCGCCATTGGGGCGTGAGGTCCCTTGTACGCCACACGGCCTGGGGCGAGTATGACGGGCAAAGCCGAGGGAGAACCAACGGTAGTGACATTAGGTGGAACTTGTGAGGTATAGACTGTGGACACAGCATGAGGAACATGGGAATACATTTGTGAAGGAAGGTAAACAAAATGATCCTTTGCAGCATTACCCGGGTGAAGAACGTGCGTCGTGGATGGCATTTGGGCGAACGGAGGATGTGCAGCAGCGCTCACTGGATATCCAAGAGTTGGCGACACAAAGCATGTGCCGTTGGGATCTGAAGGCACAGGGATGAAAGTTGGTAATAACTGAAATGAATTTCCTGCTTGTAATTTAACCGCTGGACTATGATTCTGACGGCTCATTTCAATAAACTCCCGTGCTCGTGCAGAACCTGCTGGATTAGTAAACGCGGAAGCAGTTTCATGCAGTGTTTGAGTCTCCTGGTCACGCGAGGGATGATGGTGATACTTTCCAGTCCTCCTGACCTTGCACGCTTTTTCAAAATCCACAGATCTGCCAGAGCTGCCGTCAAAAACTCTTTCGCCTTTCATAAACGAGATTTCAGGTGAAGCGTACTTCCGTCTAGAGACATCGTCATCAGTATCATCGATATTGAAATAATCGGTATTTCTTACTTGTTTGGGGGCACAACTCGTCCTTGGACTAATCCAAATATCGCGTGTGCAAGACTGTTTGTACCTAGGAGCCTGTTCGGTCAAGGTTTCCAGCGGCCGCTGCGTTTTCCGATCCATTTTACGATCTTTCACTCCCTGTCCGGGCACACGTTCGTCACTGTGACCAGAGCAATATCCTGAGCAGGAATTACCAGGCACCTCTGCACCTCGAAAATTCCGTTCACTATTCAGTAAGAAATTGTTGCGAGGTAACTGGAAAAAGTCATCTGCAATTCCTTCATTGCTAAAAGTGGATGAGCTTTGACCTGAAAAGAACGAATTTTCACGAGTTTAATTCCTTGGTCAGTAAGTGTTTTAGCTTACTTCTGTCAATACACTTTAATGAGTAGCAATCAATATACCAAGTATGCATTACTATTATTATTTATATTTATTTACAACACGCGGCAGCCTTTCCGAAGATCTGGTTTTCAAAGGGCCCATTAGCTATACACAAATATTGACATAAACACAGAGACTTAAATACTGAAATGATATACATGCAAATGGACCGGCAGGTTTGTCCAAATTTTCATAAGAACTATGCGTTCTAAGATAAAAGCACAAAATGTGACACATAAATTGATACACGCGTTGTAAATAACACTGGGTATGGATTCCATTTCGTTGAAATCTTTCCCACAACCTGGTAAATTCAAAGTACTTTCATCCAAAAAAGTTAAATTTTCAAGTTTACTTTTACTAAAAATCATTGAAGTGGGCAGTTTCATTTTCTATTTTGAGATGCGGCATGTCAAAGCTTCCTAAAAAATGCTGACTTTGCATACTTTATGTGCATTTCCTCTGTATTGTGCATTTCCTTAGACACACTCATTCGCTGCACTGTCGTCTGCTGTGATCCTTAACAAGCGTTGTGAGCGTAAATCGCCCGCTCATCAATGAAGTATATTATATAATGTATATTATATAATAACGTTAAGAACCCAAGCGCTTTCATTCGAGAGCCATGATCTATTAGAGGACACACGCACGGAATTACGTCACACGTGACGTAACTTAAGGTAGCCAATAGCATTCCCTTATTTGTATAGATCAATGATCATGTACGCGTGATCTTTGTAAAATTTTGACTCTTTGAAATTTCCAAATGTTTGGGTGGATAAAAAGTAAACTATTACCTGTTTACTGTACCTTTTTGTTATATAAAACAAATAGATAAGATTTTGCCGTTGTCTGTTGGATATAGCATGACATCATGTGGGAAAAACAAAAGTGACCCACTCGTTATATTTACCTATATCTATCTATATCTATATTTACCTGTTATATCAAGGGAGTTTGATCGGTCACTGGAACTTGAAATGGTAATAACACTAGGCGAAGGACTGTCGGGTATAACAATTGGTGAACAAACTGTCTTTTGTTTTCCCGCCATTTTCAAGGAGCGGTCAGGAGACATCAGCATTGGGCTAATATCTTGGCTACAGACTAGATCGTGACTACCAAATCTCATATCGGTCACCGGCGGTCTCCGACCAGGCGACGACAAACAAAAGGTCGGTAACTCGTATTCTTGATTATCGAGGTGTGTCCTTGTTGCACCGGTGGGATATTTCCAAGCAGGCGCGGATGGTCTGTACGTCTTTGGGTTCCAAATAGACGAACTTAAACTTGTCGCAAACATACTTCCACCACGCTGGTCGTACTAGATGAAACAAAATTACGAAGTTATCCATCGTGAAGAACAAATTCCAAATTCTATCAATAATTTATTGTCGATCAACTCACGAATGAAATGTCGCACGGAGTAGTTTTAAACCAGATAACATTTTTCGCATTTTTATATAAAATCTCGTCCTAGTTGTACACATTGAACTCTTTGTAACTCCGGTTCACGTTTCAAAGGCAAAATAATGGACCATGGGGGCCGCCTTTGTAGGTATACTCCAGGCCCTTCTCCGAAAATTTAGTATAGGAAAAATGCAAAGCGCGAACTACACGCGTGTTTTATACATAATACTTTTGGCTTCACCCAGCCTAGACCTATTCTCAGCGATTTTTCACATAAGATCACTGAGACCTAGGCGATCTACTGTAGCTGGAGGCGAGACGGAGTTAGGTGGAAGCGACAAATGCTCAAAACGGCCCCGAAGCGGCCCAACTTGGATATGGCCAATTCTAGCGTTCTAGTGAATGTTTAGCTATTTACCAGCGTGTTTAAAAGCTGGGTAAAATGAACTCAGTTCTAGTATAATCGGGTTTTTTTATATTTGCACATGTTTAGAATCGGTTTATTGAACGTAACATTTAAAGCAACACTAATATTGTCTGTGCGTATTTATAATTGTTATATTCAAAAATAAAAATTATCTTGAGAAAATAAGTATACAAAATTGTCAGCTAAAACCCAAGATGTCTGCAACTTATAAGATAGTAAATGTTTTTTATCATTAATATAGTAGTTAAAGGGCGATAAAATCATAAAAACTACTTTGAGGTCGAACAATTACGGGGTTATTTTGACTTTGGAGAAATTCACTACTTGGGAATTGGAAATTGATTATGCCTATTTCGCAATGACGTAATTGAGGCTATTAGCCTCAAAATATAAGATGCCCTCAAAAAACAGCTAAAATTTGGTCTAGGCTGGTCTTCACCCAATATTTGACAGTTTGCACAACTACTGCATGGAGCGTATAGGCTCGACTTCAATCTTTTAAAAACGGACAAAAATGTCCTACAGTAGGTAAGACTATGTATTCGATTGTGCTTTATGTTATTATTCTTACCTCATCTCGCTTTCCGTGCAGTTTAATGCCGTTGGCGTCCTAATGGGTAGAAAATAAAACGAGATATTAGCACTACGCTTCGGTTGAAAATCATGCGAGGTGATAAATACATACGTAATAGAGTCAACTTTAAAATTTGATGTTAGCACTAGCTCTGACTATAAATAGCAGAAATTAAAAGAGCAGGTCAAAGTTAGTAAATATAAGAAATTTGGAGGTTTTACTTGCAGCACACTCTATAGTAAATTCCCAGCACACCTTTTCAGTCTGCACATGCATGCATCTGCATACTCTCAAGACAGGTTAAAAATACAGTATAGACTTAAAAATGACAAAAATTCCCCACGCAATATTTCGAGGTTCAACTTTGAGATTGCTTGTGCTTCTTATAAACTTTCGAATCTGTATGATGACATGATAATAACACACATGGAAAATTCTGTTATTAAGTCCAATTGACAATTGTGAAATTCAAATGTTCGCTTTGTGAAATGGTTAATCAGCCAGTAAATAATATTCCGTTGTTTCTGTATTAATGACCAAGTCCGTTCTGCGCGTCAGTTCTGCTCATAACAAAAGGACTCCACAATATAAAAATTCCCCAATAATTTTTGCATCTTAACTTTGATTGGAACTTTATTGAATTGAAACGTACTCTAGATTATATTCTTTTACAATTGCGAACCAGAAAAGTGATAGTTATTCAGTTAGTACGTCATATTTCCACAAATATTGCAGTTCAAAATGTAAACAAAGTTAACAACCGATCTCTAAACGTGTTTACCAATTCGGGAATTAATTTGCCGATACTCCTGTAATCGGGCGACCCTATAGCCTGCGTTCAGGCTTGCTACTATAAAGCGTGTTTTATAAAAGTGTGTTAGTTTATAATGTGTGTTTTGGAAAGGTGTGTTTGTTGGTTAAGTGTGTTTATTCTGTGCGGTGTGTTTTTCTATTAAAGTGTGTTTATCTTTAAACTCGGGTTAATTAACACAGTTTTCATAGGAAGGGTGTGCTAACTAACACGATAGAAAAGGTGTGTTTTTCTGAAAGTGTGTTATGTAACACATTCACCTCCATCGCAGTGTGTTATGCACTGTAATTGTGTGTTATATAACTCACATGTGTGTGTTATTTAACTCACAAAGGTGTGTTATGTCGAAATTGTATGAGTAGAATGTGTTCTATAACACACTTAACGTGCTATATAACACATTTTTGTGTGTTTTGCAACACACCTATTTTTAAGAGTGCAGTAGCGCTATTTTATGCATGTACTTACTAATTTTAATCGGCTCTTTTTATTTCTGCGTAGAGTGCTAACATCGAATTTTAAATCTACTCAAAAAGTCCAAAATCTTTTACCAGCAGACAATCCCGCAAAATATAAGATGAAACACACTCTAAATCAGGGGCGGATCCAGACCGATGCCAACGATGCGAATGCATCGGTCAAAATTGAGAAACAGTCATGTTGCTTGAAATAATATATGGATATATTATGCTTGATACAGTATATCAAACCGCAAATATTTGCTTAAACTTGACTCCATGTGACTGTCCATGTCAGGAATACACTATTTAGGATGAAATCCAATTTAAATAGTCTCAATAACAGTCGAAATTGTCAAAATAAGTCCAATATGCGACGTGCGATCGCAAATGTGTATTTTCTGTTATTTACTTTTTATTTTGCGACACTTAAGCGTCAATAATTACGCGACAAAATATGTTATTTTTACCGCATTCTTTGACGTCACAGTAGAAAGCTGATGCATCACCTACGTCACGGTAGATTTTATTTGCATCGATTTTCAGCCATTTTGCATCAGTGAATGCATCGGTCCCGAGTCCTTTTCCGCGTGAAATCTACTGTGACATCATCAAATCTATTGTTTTAGAGCCCTACGTCACGGTAGATTAGTCCGCTGCAATTGCAAATCAAAATCAAATTGCAAATCAAAATCTACTGTGACGTAACGAGGCATTCGATTCAAGTCATGGCGGCAAGGATATGCAAACACTGTATGCAAATGCAAATAATGCGAAGAAATATCCCTCGAAATTGATGGCAAGCAAATAATTTACAGTCGAATTAATTACCAAGGTTTGGAATGAATTTAATCTTTCAACTGAGTACAAGAATTGAAGTATATTTATACTGTGAGAATGTGAGCTGCCCACTTGGGCTCTAAAGTAAGTGGAATTTATCTATATTTTACATTGTAGTATATTGTTCAGTTCAAGAAGTGTATAAAGTGGAAAATTGGCTCCACAGTAAATGTAGATTTGTATGTATTAACATAATAATTAAAGTTTGTGTCTATTTAATACTGCTGTTCATACCAGGAGGGGGGAGGGTTGGGTGGGGGGGATGAGGTAGTTTGACATTTTAGACATTTTACAGTCTTTATACAGAGGTTTGCTTGTCTGGAGGCAAACCAGCCCCAATACCGAACTTGACAACTTGCTTTACTGAAGCAAATTTCATCTCTGTTTACATGGGATTATAACCTGTGCCCAGACCTTCATTTTTTTCACAGCTGGCGGGCAAAGAAAAATGAAGACCTGATAAATCACATATGTTATTAAACGTTTGTGTCCTACAACTGCCTTTATGGTTCTAACTCTGATTCGCTACTTCTACCATGAGTATTCATGCCATATTTAATGATTTTTTTTATATTTTGGTTAGTGCTACTGTATATATAATTAAATAATTATAGATTAAATAGCTAGTGATTGTAACTATATTTAGCTTGTTGTTAAATTATGTGAAATAATTTGACATTTCGCCTGGCACATTTTGATTGGATACCGGTACTAAAAATAAAACTTTGGTGTGGGTCAAGACTTGCATCAGGCTCTGTATGTAATTACAATGCATAATAATATTGCAGGTTAATTAATGAGATTTCTAATAGTGATGCAATATTGGTTAAAAAACTAACGGGGAGTTTACATGAAAGGTAATTGGTTCAAGTTGCAAGTTCCAGTGGTATCTCCTATTACATTTCATTTTCATTTTATATGGAAATGAGCTGGCATGCCTCATGACAAGAGTCTAATTGCTTTGCATTGCCTGAGTTATTGGGCAATTACTGTACACTGGATATTTTGCAAACAAAGATCATTACCTGGGTTTGCTCGCCTACCATAGTTGAGTACATATGCTTTGTCGGTGCAAATATAATTTGATATAAGCTGTATATGTCATTCTCTTGACAAATTTTAATCTTAGAATGATTATAAAAATGATGGACGGTATAAATACTGTATATAACTGTAACTGGTGTATATAGGTTATAATTATGAAATTTGCTCACAAAAGTGGTATAGATTTAATTAAATTATATATATTTGTAGTGCTAATTCTCCCAATACTATGTTTTGGATAGCCAGCATAGCACCCTGAGGATTACCATTGATAAGTGTATGGATATATTTGACAAAGATGTGCATTTATATAATAACACAGGGAAAATATTGATCAATACTACTACTGTGCAGCCTTTCTACATTGACATCATCTTAAAAGAGTACTATATTAATTAATATATTAGTTGAAAGGCAGGCAAAAGGGGATTGATAGAAGACATCTGATGATTCCAATTATGTCATGATATATTGTTTATCATTGTACAGTTTGGTAGGTTCATTTGACAAACAATTTTCAACTAAGATACAGTAGTTCATTAAATCAATTTACACACAGTATCACTATATATCTATTGATTTAAAGTTTGGGGTCATGTGTACCTAGTTATACTTATAGAATTTTAAAACTCAGTGCTTGTTGTGCATTAGTTTACTGGTTTCCTGGTCACAGGGCAATATTCTCAGTAATTCAGAGTGTGGGCTAGTCACCATGCATGCAGTTCATATCAAAGGCATCTATTGCTAGGGGCGAATAAAATTGACATACTGATGCCAACAACACTGTCCACACAGAGTAAGATTATAGCAGCATAAGACAGAGTTGTATATAAATAAGTTTACCCACTAGAGCACAAAATACCTTTATGCACCATTCTAATGCTAGAAGATTTTACTCATGGAACATTGGAAATTAGTGGAAATTAATAAGCCTCAGGGAAGGTGGTTAAGAAACATAATAACACTGTCTAACTAGTGGATCACACTGTATACACCCAAGTGTGTATTACACGTAAATGTGTATTTGCGTTGTCGTGATTTTTTGCCGAAATGTTTTTCAATAGAAAAGTTAAGGCTACAAGAAACACAGTACTGACTATTTTTGAATGGAGACTTATGTACCACTGCTGCTATTACACTTGTACAAGCAATTTTTTTTTCTTATATGGAGAAATTATGTTGTTTTTGCGATATAGGTTCAAGTTTTTTACGTGCTTTCCAAAAATGCAGCAAATAATTTTGTGACTCTGATGTATGAATTGGAACAAAAGAGTTTGCTCAGAACGCAGGAAATCGCATTTCCGAGGTTCTAGATTTTCAAAATTTCCCCCGGACCCCCCTACAAATGCGAGGTTTTAAGCATCAGTCAGCTTGGGAACTGGATCCGCCCCTGCTCTAAATATTACCATTTTGCATGTAAACTCAGGATTCGAGTTATTTGAACCTATCCTTGTTATCTTGTTTAAATATAGCTTGAATCTTAAGTTTACAAGATTCCAATGTTCATCATTCTTAGTCTTATGAAGAGTGATAAAGGTCTATCATATGATAGCATTAACAATGGAACAGTACAAGCGAATATACGAGGATTTTTACCAATGAATTGGTACCACTGAATTCGTCTTCTACATTCTGTACTAACATTATACAATTGCTCATACAAGTACACCAATGCACGTAGAGTATACCATTTATAAACCATCGCTCGCCCCTGAATTAAATTCATGCAGAACACTTTTTCGTTAATCAGATCCAACATATGGTGGTCAGCAGACTAACGATTAATATTCGGTCAAATACAACTCAGAAGTCGGTGATTATTTATGGCAGGGGGTGGCACCGAAGAGAAAAGGGTTGGGTGCACAAAATGTTGAGTGAGTACAAGGTTGGGTAAATGAAAAATTAAACAACCCAAGAGTTGGTTCCAAAGCATGACTCGCTCAAATATTGAAGACTAAAAAACAATGTCAACAGTCATGTGTCAATGCAATATGCATGTGAATCAATCATAGTCATTATCTTGATCATTTTCCAATTTGTCAGGAGGCAAATGGTGTCTCCAAAAAAAGACCATGTGCAAGACAACATGAAACTTTAGACTGCCGAAAATTGCACAAACAGTTCTTTTCATGTCACAGAAGTGGTAAAGGACATGTGTGACAAATGAATGATTTCCTTTTGTAAAGTTTTTGGCCAGGGGTGGGTACTTATTTCATTTTTAATTGTTATTTGACAAAGGGTACAGACTTTTTAATGGTCGGTTCAGCAACATTTTTATCAAGAAGAACATTTCTCTTCAGTGCCACCCCTGCCATAAATAATGACCGGTCGCTAAATTTAAGGATTGTTAGATAAAGTTGGACATACCACAGGATAAAACGGACTGGTGTCACCAGATATATAGCCATTATCATTCGATACACATTTCGTCTGACTCCTAAAAAATATTAATTTAACTCAATGGTAAAGTTTAATTTAAAGGCTCCACAGTTGTAGTTGAAATATTGTTCAAATATTGAAGGGCTTTCCGAAGATGGAAATTTCACGAGGAAATACCTAGTAACGAGGACCTGCATCATGATAAAGGAAAATGACCAAATACGAATAAAATAGAAATTGCCAATCGAAATCGCACTTTTCCACCGTTTGGAATTGATAAGCGAATTAAATGGAGTCAACTCTTTTAACAAACCTCAGAAGCACCTATATTGGGTCAATATTACAGACAAATATTAGACGGTGGACCTGTTTTGGCATCAGCGTAAATTTTCATATAAAAAATACTTTGACTATACAATGGGCAGTAGAACTAACAGGAATCATTCAGGAATACGCTCTTTTGAAGGCTTTCGACCAGAGGTTTTACAGTCTTAAGGAGAAAATTTGGCTTTTTCCTATTTTGTTACAAAATCACGAATTTTGCCCTAAACCAGTACGTACGGGTACGATCTGTGGGCACACCACTCTCGTTCCCCTGAATTGGCATCGTTAAATAGTTGTAATTAGTTTTGGTGTGACGTCATCCTAGAGTAGTTTAATATCAATGTACTACTACTTGGTATACTTTTATACAAGATTTCGTAAACGGATGTGAATGAGGATTTCCACACACGCGAGAACAATACAACGGAGACTATACATATAGACCATTTTTATATTGTTCTCGAATTTCGGTAAAAATAATAGCCTAACATAAAGATTGTGGGTAAATATTGAGGTATTATTGGCATCTCACTCGATTCAAGATGGAAATTATCGAGTAGAAATTTACATAAATTTATTAGACCTAACCAGGAACAGTTCCGAAAAATACAACTATATACTGTACGTCCCTGGCAGGAATCGAACCTGCGGCCCTGCATGCGATTCCGGTCCAGCGATCTAACCAACTGGGGCCGGTTGTACGAAAGGTGGATAAATCGCTATCCGGTGGATAAGTCCCTATCCAGCGGATAAATTTTATCCGGAGTGAAAATCGCGTTGTACGAAGCTTGGATAGCGCTATCCAACGGATAAAATGCACTACCCGTTGGATAAATTTATCCGAGGTCCGGAGGTAGTTTAAATCCACTATCCGGCGGATAAACTCGAAGTTTGAAGACAAAACAATGTGTATTTCATTTAAAAAGTATTGCTATTGTGATAGAAATGGACAAATACCGTTTAGAAGTCCCTTTTTTGACACTAAATAAACATGGAAACTTACTTATGACTTCTCTTGCTCTTGACGTACCGAGCTCACTTTGAGTCACTTGCCCATTAAATAATGCCATGACTTTGCCATATTTTATGCAGACCTGTGTCAGTGCTTAGACGTTACGTTTTCTGGCTTTTTCCCTTCTTTTTTTCTGTTATATAGCTCGAAAACAAGCAATAAAACTTTCATTAAATGAGTTCCCTTCAACGCCAAACAAATATAGCTGCATATAAAATAGACAACAAGGCACCGAAAGTCGAAAAATTTTGTTCGCTGGCCTTGATCAGCCAATCAAATCTTGCGAGAAAATGTTCTTAAAATTGTTTTGAATGACGTGAAAGGTCAAAGAACAAATATTCGGACAGTATAATATAACTGAATCAACATACTGAAACAAGAAAACAAAACTCGCAGTCTTTGCTATTGCCTTCGCATAAAGAAGCCAAAAATCTTTTAAAGAAATATCGATAAGTAGATAGCAAACTCTTCACTGAGGGAAAACGAAGTATTGCAACGATTGGACGAGAAAAACTCCAAAATATAAACATGAACAAAAAACCTTTATTGCAAGTTGATACTTCAAAGGTTAGTGGAATTCACAAATTATACGAAGATGCTACAAAAAAAGTTTTAATACAAATACCTAGCAACAGCTGACGTAAAGACAAGAAATTTCAGGAAAATCCAGTTTTCTCCAGTTAAAATTAAGGTTATCCGACGGATAGCTATCCACCCTGCTATCCGTGCTTCGTACAACGCATTTTTATTCGGCAGATAGCTATCCATTGGATAGGAGATTTATCCATTGGATAGGACTTATCCACTGGATAACTTATCCACCTTTCGTACAACCGGCCCCTGAGCTACAGAGGCCAGTTGTCGAGCTCTAACCAACTGAGTTACAAAGTCCAGTTGTCGAACTCTAACAAGTTCATATATATGTGTATATACTAGGGTAATACCATATACTAGGGGAAATATCAAGATTTTGTTGGCATCTCACTCGATCGATTGAATAATAGTTGAAGAGTCTTGTAGATGGAAACTATTGAGTAGAAATTTATATACATTTATTAGACCTAACCAGGAACAGCTGCGAAAAATGCAACTATATATAGCTCCTGCCAGGAATCGAACATGCAACCCTGTGATTGCAGTGAAGCATACCATGCCTCAAACCATAAATCGGCTGAAAATCCCCGCAGGAGGTAAGAAGATTTTGGTAGATTGTGTTGAAAAGATTTCCTGGCAGCGGTGCGCCGGACTTTTTCCGGATTTGGAAACAAATGAAAATGTTATTTTTGTAACTGTTGTTGTTGTTGCCGTTGTTGTTGATAAAGAGCTTTATAGATTTGTCTAGACATACGACTACGAGACAAGCCATCTCTTTTCGCCATCAAGTACCGACGCTTTACGAGTCTCTACTACGTGATTATGGCGTGCGCAGGTGGTAATAAGATGATGGGGATTATTAGCAAATGACGAATATTGTACTCCTAAAGTACAAAAGTTATCTTTCGTTTGGATGCATGCGTTTTCAAGATATACTGAATATATCTGATATTAAACTTTATTATTTGGCATCGAACTTTCTGATGAATTAAAATCACTTTCTGCCTTGCCTACCTCCATGATTCAGCATGTGTAGGTGCTTGTTGACTGCTGTGTCCAGAAACATTTTGCCATGGGACGAACTATAAGTAATAAAATCCGAGAAAAATACGCTGGTGAGCATATATATACACATGAAAGGCTTGACGTTTCGTTGTTTCTATTTTCAAAGACAAATGATTAATTAAGAGTTAAGAGAATACCTGCAAAACAAATTCGAAAAGCTACTATAAGTTTATAGCCATTTAGTGCGGCTGACTCAACTACGAAAAACCTCTATAAATGAAATTTGACCATAGTTGAAGGATACGCATGTTCCTTAATTGCCTGTCCAGAATATCGCACGAGATAAAAAGGTCTCCATTTTCCTATACTACCCGCGCCTAAAACACAACACCGACTCACTTGGCTATTTGTATTCTATACATATTATACGCTTATAGTTACCTGTCTTAAAGCACAATGAAACACAGAAACACAGCCATTTTTTTCATCGACCGTGCACCACAATTAGTACATATATAGGAGGCTGTTTTATTTGCGCGGATTGTTATTCAAGTGAAAAAAAATCAAAATTGCAACCTTTGTTTGAGCGCCTTGTAGTTGCACGCTATACTGTATACATTTTCAATATGAAATATCTGCAGAAATGTTTATCTTTACATTATCATTATTCATTAGAGATTTATAATCGCTTTCATTCCTTTTGTTATAATTTTGTACCGAATAAAAATGGAGAAGAAATCCAGAGGTTGAAAGTAGAGCGATTTTCGCTGCTTGTAAACAAACGAAAGCGGGTCACAGCTAGGTTTGATTCTCACAGGGGTCAAGCACACAAGTTTACCCATGCAGCGTAATATCAACTTAGTACAATCACCACAATTAAAAGGTTTGCTGCATGTTTTCAATACTAATTTAATACAACAGGTCGAAGTCTTTGAATTCTTGTGAGTTTGGTTGAACACAATCTACATTGCATTCATGCAGTGTTTTACCCCAGTGTTTATTATTATATGTTTTACCTTCATGTACATCGGGCGATGTGATGTTGGCATAGCAACAGGAACGGCATTTGCTGCAACATTGGTTTGCTGAATTGTTGGTGCATGAGGGATATTCACGACAAGCGGTTTTCCCTAAAAAGTCAGACATTAGTGTTTTTTGTACCTACAATGCTATCCAAATTTTAAATCTTTCAATCACAGCTGTACATGCATGGTAGCCTTTTTATCCCGACGCAAAACGAATCATTTAGATGCCCATAAATTGATAATATTTCTGGTAATACAGTGCCAAAAAAAATAAGTGACAAGCGCCAAAACAAAACTTTCGACTCATGACAGTCGAAAGCTTGTTTAAGTTTTTGTATCATTTGTGAGCGAGTGAGTATGAGTAAATTATTTATTTCGCATGTGTTTTCATGCATGCAAGTGACTATTAATTGCCTCTGCAGATTTTTTTCATGTATATATTTCTAAATAAATAATAGCATATTTTCTTGCCCAATTTGGAAAAACAAACACTCGTAAGTTTTCCAAAGTCTCGTCCTTTGGACTCGTGCAATTTTGATAGTTGTGAAAGCACTTTTTTCCAAAATGCACTCAAAACCATGGTATTGTTACAGTATTACTAGATAGCGGAGGTTATATAGGATGCATGCTGAACATGCCGCAGCCGCAGCTAATACCGCGGTCAAACGGCAAGCGCATGCACGAGTCTACGAAAATGGCGGGTGGAATGTGTGCCAAAATATTATAGGAGTAAATACGGGAAAAGAAACGTTACATGAACATTAGATACTGTAGGCAGTTTAACCAGTTTTATGGTACCAACTCTCTCTGAAAACAATAGCTTAATTTCAGTGCAACAGCTGTTTGCGCTTCATCTTAGCATTGACAATCTACAGGAATGGACTGGAAACGCCAATGCAAAAAGCTGTCGTCATTCGTCACATTCGTGATACGAAAACTAACTCTGTTTCTTGAGACGAATGTTTCACACTTTTTAAATGAAACTCTAAACAATACTGCATGTCTGCAAATATGTCTACTGTACGTCACTATTTGACATTCAAGAAAACCTGTTCAATTTTGTTGCTGATATTACACCAAACTATCAGTCAACATCTAGTCAGATATAAATCTATGCATATATAACTCGCGACTCGTTATGTTATATTAGTTTTCGTTTCGGTATAGTATGAAACTATCAATAAATGTGCGTGTATCAGCACGTATCAGGACTGTATAATGGATACCAACATGCAAATCCATGGCGTTACAAGTTGACTGTCTATGATCTAATCAAATTCCAAGTCTATTTTGGGACGCCCATAAACACTATAATTCATACCATAGTGAAATGTGGAGGTGCTCCAGATACCACTCGCTGAGGGATGTACGATGTCTCTGAAATTCCAGGATTCATCATGTTATCTCTGAAAGACGTTGGAATTGTCAAGATCGAGTTCGTTTTATTACCAGGCACACGACTGTATGTATTCTCCACTAACGTGTTGGATTTCTGCTCCGCACATCCAACGTTGCGACGACAAGCCTCCATTTTTCGAACAGCTGAATTGAATCTGAAAACACAAACAAATGCTAGCTGTAATGGAATTCTTTCTTAACTCATATTAGAATGACGGTAAATGTGACACATCTGTCAATCTTCAAAACTACATTACAGTTTAGAAGACTGAAACAAGTCGACTACAATTCGATTGAAGTAATTAACTTAAGATTCGCCTTTCATGGTCCAGCCTTGGATTTTTGTACAGATTGTACTATATACACTGTTTTGTCCCATTGAACGGTTTGGTTTTCATTAGATTCCATCCGTCAAACTCCTAATCATATCGTAATGGTAACTCATTAAACCTATTTTCATAATGAGGCCGACGGAATCCACATAATTCGTGCGAAGCAAAATTGCGGGCGTAAAATTATATTATTTTTTTAAGATAATGTAGTGCATGCCAAAATGCACTTTAAATATCTGAAACATGTTCGGATCACGATAACCCCGCTACTGTATAGTACCTGCAAGTGACTTGAGCTAACTGCAAACATGGGTCAGAAGTACAGTAGGAAATATTGTTTGAGAATTTCAATTTTTCCCAGTATGTTTTTGCAATTCTTACATTAGATGTCGTATTTCAAGACACCAATTTCAGAGATGGATGCCGTGACAAACTTTATGCGAGTGTGTTCAATTGATATTTAACTCTCTGCTCCTGTTTTCGGAACACGCATGCACGTTGTCAGTTACTGTATCTTGATTTGCATTCCTACGTTGTATATTTTGAGTATATTTTTTGAAAGATTTTATTTCTCAAATCTCAGACTCGGAGTTGAATTAAAATTAAACTCCGATTAAAAATGAAAAAATTGCCTTTCGAGTCATCTGCAGTCTAACTGCTTAAAATTTCCCCCAGTCCCAATTCCTCGCCGTAGCTCGCTCGCCGTCTCGTCACGCGGCCCCGAACCTACTCAATTCGTTCGCAGGCCTAACTGCAAATTAATTATTGTTGGCTGCAAATTATTGTTACATGCAAAAATAGTATTTATACGGGCATGATCTTCAATTCTACTACATAAGTGAAAAATAAAAAATATTACTAACACTTCACTGTTACTGTACTCGGCCAAGTGAGTAAGGGTAATAAATGGATGACTCAAAGCCGCATCTGGGGTGATCCGTTTTTCAGGATCAATTGACAACAGTTGTTTCAACAGTTTCACAAACTCGTTCCTACAAACGCAAAAAAAAAGTGTGTTCAGTTAAATATGATTTCTTTTGTACTGCTCATGTATACGCCCAATTTTATTTTAGGCGCATTTGGACTTAGATCATATCCGGTAACTTGACAATGAAAAAGTCGATGACGCTATAAAAGATATCACATTTATTCTTAGAATGTCCGAATATTACACGGGATTAATCAAACTCACTTTCAAGAACTTTTATACTGGTGTATACTGTTCACTGCATATTAGATATATACAGACCATGCGATTTCATGATGCCAACGGGAACGTCAATGTCGAACAACACTGTAAATTTCAAGGAGTTGCATGAATCAACTCCAAAAGTGTTTCATTGGAGTTGTTTCAACTCGTTGAAATTTACAGTGAAGAAAACGTTCTAATAAGGGCGCTGATCAATCTGCGATGCAAAGAACTGGTAACGAACCTGCCGTTGTTATTACGGCGACGTTTTCTTATCGCAAAATTATATGGCGGGAAAAGTGGATACAACTAGAAGTACTAGTAGATTTGTAGTCAAGCATAGATATCGAGGATAAAATTCCGATGTTATATGATAATTTAGTTATTTAGTAGATACTGCTTCTAAGTTTTAGGTATTACTGACGATCTTTCAGACTTTTCAAAACTCTTCGTATATGTACAAGCAATGTACAAACAACACAAAAAAATGACAACTGGATAGCGTAATTTCAAAATACATAAACTACTATTAAATGTACTATTTTGGGTGACATTTGTCACTGGTTGCCTAAAGATCTCTTGCTAGCAGTCAACTTCATTTCCTCATTTGCCATTTAGAACTCTTTCACATTGGCCAGTGCCTGCGCCAGCTCTGAAAATAATTAACTGCGTTGAGACTAAAGCTCTCGTTATCGAATTACTATCCAAATAATTTATAAGCTCTTATATAGTAATTCCAATTACGGTTGGCATAATAGATGACAGTCCTCCTTTAATACCCATTGTCATTGACAAAACCAATAACCAATAACCATTGACAAAAAATTGTCGTCGATAACTTCATTTTCAGGGGGCAATTCCGAGGATTACAGTACCCTAGAAAACAAGATACGTACCTGTCAACTTTCTCTGCTCTTTTATCAATACCAGATAAACCACTAGGAAACTTCACGTCGGCAATATCGTTCAGATTCTTGAAGATGTATTTTCTGGCCTCTTGAGATTTAATTTTGGTCTCTTTTTCATACTCCAATGATTCCTAACGAAACAAAAACCGGTAAATAGGATGTCCAAACAACAATGCAAGAGCTGTGTTCCAGATTCTCTCACAGCTAACTGGTCTAATAGAACCAATGTTACGGCTGAATAGACTATTGAAATCATTCATATATAATACACTATTATGATGTCTGGGAAAAGGTAGGCTAGCATCGTTGCCAATATAAAGCACGCCTTATGCCGCAGATGAGATGGGGTAAACGTGAAGTGGCGCTCGATATGGTTCTGTAAATGTTTAATGATTTGCATTATTCAAACAAATGTATTGTCTATAATCTATTTAGATGCAGGTTTATTAGCATAGCATGACCAGGTGCGATGGCTAGCTTCGCCACTGGCAGAGTGGATGTGCTCAACTTTGGTATTCGGAGAAATACAATTATACTTCAGGAAAGTATACTTTCGCATAATTTACATTTTTTAAGAATGAGAGAGAAAATTATTCAAATTAATGTGGCAAAATGATCGGTAATAATGTATTTGCGTTTTCCTTGGAAATGGCAGATGGCTGATTGTTACTGTATATTGAACTCTGGTAGCTATTATTATAATTATTACTGGTTTATTCTATTATTTATTTTTTAGACTTCGCCAAATAGAATCATACATAGCTGACACGAAGAATCACAAACACCAGGACCTACACATCAATATTAACAACGAATGACGGGGACATGCACCACAACAGCTATGTGGGCGCTATAATGGGCCCTTTCAATTTGCATTGCTTACCTTTAGTTTGTACTCCCACATCATTGTTGACTTATTCAAATTTGTTTTCTTAAAAAATCGAGACACTTTGGTGCCAACAACAAGCAACTCAAACAGTCCGACGTTTCCCTGAGTCTGAATGATGTAGCGAATCTAAAAATACAAGTGTTTCAAATTAGGAATCACGGATGTTGCGATGGAAATTAGCAAGATTTGTTGAAGAAAAACGGTGGTGTGTTGGGGAACTAACTGAAAAGTACAAACAAAACTTCGACGTTTCGAGTTGAAATGTCATGGTTACCATCTGTAGCAAAGGCAATGACGTCAATTTTGGTAAACATTTCATATTCTTCAGGTAGTATTTGTAGAACTGAAACACTATTTGCTTTTGAACAAGTAACAATTTTCAAAATTTCCGCCCTAAATCGTAAATTTTCCTCTTGCATTAACCCAAGAGAAACTTCGTTACTAAAATATTCAAGACGTGACTAAATAACATTGTTCAACAATCTATCAGTGACATCACTGAATAACTTAGCCTGCGTAGCGGCTCTCAGGGAAAGGAGAGCCTGCACGAAACTCCATGCTTTGCCGTTTTTACTCGTTCTCCCAGACAACGAAAAATCTGATTGGTTCAAAATGAAAAATATGATAATTTATGCTAAAATAATCATTGATTGATAGCTTGATTGCGAACAAACACGGCGGATGCATTTGAGAGGTATTTCTTGAGTTTTACATTCAAAAAGAGCTTAAAGGCCACGATTTACATTTAAGGATGAACAAAAAAGTGTTTACCAACTTTGTTCATGAAACTCTAGAGAAAAAGTGGCTGTGGTGTCTTCGTTGGATTGCTGTCTGTTAGCCGCGTCTCTTTCACGAGCGTGTTCGTTTTCACCGACGACAAATATATTTTTTCTTGATTATTTCATAGCTAATAATTTTGTGCCAGGAGAGAATTGCTGTGAATGCTTACGAACACGACTTGCTCTCTCTGGAGTGACGGCTTCAGACACCTTTCTCGTCCCTGCATCGCTCGAAACTTTGACATTTACATCACGGACCGCTGTCGAAACTAATTTGTACGTATTCACGAGATTTTGTAGTTTTCTCGCACACGGACTGCAAACTATTTGTGGCGATGATGAAGACTGCTCTAGCACTATTCCCACAGACTTCAATTTTCTTTAGCCGACATCCGTAATCCGTATATTATTTCGTTTTGAAATTTGCAAACGTAAAGCAATCAATATTATTTCATTTTGACAGGTAAATTTGCAAACGTAAACGATCTGTGTGATTGGCCAATTTTGACAACTGTTAAAAGTGGGCGTAGCCCGCAGGCTAAGTGGGCGGTGAATGGCAAAACAGTAGATCTCGTGCAGGCTCTACTTTCCCTGAGAGACGCTATACGCAGGCTATGAATAACTTAATTAAAAAGATTTTCACTTAAAAATAATATTGGATTAGTTTGTTCACTTGAGAATGAATGTTACTGTATGTTAATTAAAAGTGACAGGCATTTTAAATTGAAATGTATAAAGTAGCACGCCGCTACTTCGACCTCGCTTGTCTCAAAAACCCCGCAATCTTGAACTTAAATCCATTTCCCGTGGATTTGCTCATACGATTTCAATTATTTTTACTCGGTTATCTCGAACTGCTCGCTAACTCGACTCCGTTGCTTTATCAGGGATTACCTAGTATACATGCACGTATTTGATGTTGTTATACATTGTAGTCACTACATGTGTCTTCAGATTGGTCAGCACCTGTAGCTCACAGTTAAAGATTTATTTTAAATCCATTGGGTTTACGTATCCGACAGGATACACTTCAACATTGACAACAGTCAAAACTATATGGTTCGCTCGATTGGTCTAGAAGATTTTTACGGCGATGCGTGGCAAGCGTGCTTTCGTTGCCGAGCCTCGATGGCCACTGATCCAACATCTGATCCAACTTCTCGCTTGACCAATGTAACCCAACCATAATAAATATACGAAATCTTTCAGGATTTCTTATGGAAGAAATTAACATTTCTAAAATAGCTTTGGTTGTTTTAAGAATTCCTGTCATAAGATATATTTTAGAAATTCTAACTACCTGATCATATTCAGAAGATCCAGGATATAATGGCCAACCAAGAAACAATTCCGCCATAACACATCCAAGAGACCACATGTCAATGGCTTCATTAAATTGCAAACCAAGAATGACTTCTGGTGCCCTGAAATAAATTGTAATATTATGAATAGGGATACATTTAGTATATGCCAAGTAAACATTAGCCGGCGTATGTAAAAACGGCGAAATATTGACTGCCTGCATGTACAGTAGAGAAAAACAAAATGGCGGCTCAAACTGAATTTCCGATTTTTGCGAACGAGAAAACGGCAAGTTGTTCGCTTTTTATAGCCTTTACAGGATTAAAAACACAATGAAAAAACTCGCACAAATTGTTTACAGGTTAGCAAATGAATTTTTAAAATTTAAAATGGTTAAAAATATATATTTTTGAAGAAATAATCGGCCGAAAGAGCGAAGATAAAAACATACACAAAATAGAAAAATATTGAAAATATCCGAAAAGCAAAGTCTGTGAATTCAAACCTTGTGTATATAATAAAACAGTTATTCCACTCACTCTCGACGAATATGAGCGATAGCCGATTCGGCGCTACGCGCCTCATCGGCTATCAGCTCATATTCGACTCGAGTTCGTAGAATAACTGTTAATTATCCTACAGTCCGGACCTCTCGCTCAGTCAATAACATATTTATACTGGTTAAAATCCTGGAATTTCTCGTTCTGAATATCCCTCAAGTAGAAATTCACCCTCTGTTAATGTCGTCCTATCATATATTAGCAAAACCACAGATGCATGCTTTCTCCCGCACAATGTTGTCACATTCTTGATTGTTTTGACACGAAAACATGACACGTTTCGCAGGTGGGAGGAACATCCACGGTCTTGATAATAAATGTTGATTCTCAGTTTTATATTTTAACCCATCACTGCATTATGCTGCAAAACACCCTTTCGATAATTACGTCACAACTACACTGTTTTCAACTTAGGACCACCTTAAATGGAAAGGATTTCAAGTTCTTTTCTCATGGGCTATGCACAGAGAAGCAGAACATCCTACTTCAACACATGCATGAAAAAAATTTGGATTTTGATAAAAAAATATGGAAATAAGCATTAACACGAAAACGAGGATCCAGGTCATGACCTGGAGCCTCGTTTTCGTGTTAAAGCTTATTTCCACATTTATTGGTCAAAATAAAAAATTTTTTTCATGCATGTGTTGAAGGAGGATGTTCTGCTTCTCTGTGCATAGCCCATGACAGGGGCGTGCTGGCTAGGGATGAGCCAACGAGAACTCGTTGTGGGCCCTTGCGATCATGCGCCCCTAAAATCAAGACATTGAAATTTTTTCAAACATTGAGATTTTAATTTTCAAAATCAAGATTAAGATATTACAGTTTTAATTGTAAAAATCAAAATTCACGAAAATATTAGTATATTACGGAAGAATTTTCGTAATGTTGGGACCGAAAAGTTACGATATACAGTATGCCCGGAAAAAATTTACCATTTACGGAAAAAATATGGAAAAAATATTAATATTGAGCTATCGTTCACTGCGCCTGGGCCCTATCAGACGTTGCTCATTCGTTGTCTTTTTTTAAGACCCCAGCACGTCCCTGGCCCATGAGAAAAAAACTTGAAATCCTTGAAATTCATACTGTATATATTCGGAGCGAGAACTCGAGTGCAAAACGTGAAGCCAGCTTCGTGTTAACTGCAGACTGGAACTGATGTCCAACAGCTCCTTCATTCTTCAATTTCCGCCATCTTGGTAAGAAGTCTGCCGACATTTTGTATTTTCACATTGACTTAAAGAATGACACTATGGTTTTATGAAACTTGGTTAGCGATACGGTCCGTTAGAAAAAACTGGCATTAGCTGGGGGAAATGGTATAAGAGCTGTTTACGACCTTCAGAGCTATTGGACGTAAATGGCCGCCATCGAGTCGAACGACTGAAGCATAGAAATAATAGACATAGAATGCGTGCTCCTATCTCTTCTCAGTAAAAATTTTGTCTCCACAAAATGGCGGATTTATAAGGGCATTTTGGCTAGTCCCAGACTCCTGTGGCGTGGAATTTCGCGCGGTGCCGGGAGTGCCGGAATTGTTTTTTTTCAACAAAGTTTGCAAAAACAATTCTATCCAGACTTGAAGTGGAAAAAAGTGTTTTTAATGGAGAAAAACCCATTCCCATGGGTTTTTTTACGAAGAGCAATAGTTCTGAACAGAATATATAGAGAAATCGTCGTTTCAAAATACATTTTCAACGTTGTTGTGCAAGCCAAAACAAAACACGAACAATCAAGACAAACTGAAACTCAAGAGGTATGTTTTAAAAAATATATTTCAACTGTTTTATAATATAAATAGAGTTCAATAATCTTTTTAAACTTACACAACTACTTTTTATACGTTGCTTGAGCTTGAGGCAACGCTTTTGAAACCATATGTTTTCGACGATCATTTAGGCGCTTTACAGTTTTAAATATCAACAACTGAAATATTTTTGTTTCAAAAACATGAAAACACTTCGTTTAGATTGAAGAAAAACAAAACCCGACGAAGAATGAACTATCATCTCGTAATTTTATAAAGTATTAGCAAAACAGTTACGTTCAGAGCTTGCAAAAATGTTTTATGAGTAAGTTATATTTTATACGCGAAACTACACAAAAAAACTACTTGTTTTTTATACAAGGCTGCTCGATTTTCACCGTTTTTGTAACGGCGCATTTGCTTTGAGCCTTTAAAGAACTTAATATTTCAAATTCTATCCCCAAACTACAAACACCAAACGTTTTGACGATGAAAACTTTATAGTTTTAGTTTTGTTTATACTTTGTAGTTTGCACTCCTACTCAAATTGAACATGGCGGATTTATAAGGGCATTTTTGTTTTCAGTTTGGACACCGGTCACGTGACCAAGCACGCATTCTAGGTCTAATATTTCTATGGACTGAAGTCATTGCTCCAGATACATATATATGGAGCTCACCGGCTGCAATGCGCACCCAAATGCAACCGGCTTTATTATTTTACTCTGTCCAGACCATCTTACTTGTCAAGGGGAGGGACCTGCACATTACTGGGTTAAAAGCAGAATATTTTTCTTGTGAAATACTTGATTATGAGCTCCTTATTGCCAATGTTAACCCATGCATTAAGCTGTAATGCACCCCACTTTATTAATTTACTCTGTCTAACACCAGACAATTTTACTCATCAATGGTCTTGTGGACTGATGAGTTGGGTACAAATAACTGATTGATTTGTTGTTGTTTTCAGTTGTTATCCCAACCTATCACTGTGACAACACAATATTCCTAGAAAACTTGCCCCTGGGACAATGGTACTCTGGAATAGTTTTGTGCCACAAGAGTATTTTAGGCCAGCTTGGCATAAATAGGGCTGGTGTATGGAATAGCAATAGCCAATAGGTATTCATTGTGGTTCTGTCTGTCGGACTGGCATCAAACATCTACAAACACTTGTTGGTGGGGTCAATGGGTAAGAAAAACTATTTTAACATTACTGGTACAGTACTAGCCTGGGTGCTACAGGGCCAATTTCCTCATGCAATCCATTTTTCATTTGATAAGCAAAAAACAGTTTGGATTTGATACTTTCTAATACATGTATTTATCATATTATTTGAATAGCTCAAAAGGATCAGTGTCCGCGTTTTGCATTGCAATCTTACCAAGCTCAATGGACCTATCTGACCGGAAAATTTAGATAAAATTAAAATGAGATCCATTTTTGCTAAATATTTGAGAAATGTAGACCAGATCTTTCCATTGATAGAGACAAAATTTCAAGTCTGACCTGACAAAATTTCAGGTCAGGGTGATGGATGTCACCAAAGTGTGAGAACACATAAAAAATTAAGCCAATAATTTTGTTGTTTGGGCTTAGTATAAGTTAGACATGACCACACAAACTGTATGCTTTAAATGCAAATTGTGTCATGATATAATAAAGATTATTATTTTACAATGTATTATAATTATACAGTGTGATATCTGAAGGTTGAAACAGTGCAGTGGTCTGTAATTTTATAGCAATTGACAGGTTGTTATAAAATGAATAAAACAAAGTCAAAGACATGCAATATAACACATGAATAAAACCAATATAAAATACAAATAAAAACAAGAAAAAAAACAAGTTTTCTAATATTGTGATATTTTAAATCAGTTTCACTGCTCACTTTAATTGAGAACAAAACATTTTTTTGTGTGTCAAATCACAGGGGGCCCCACTATGAGTTATGATTGAAATAGTATTGTATTTATTTAAAAAAACTTACTTGAATCCCTTGATAATCGATTATTTCTTCTCTCGAAGTTCTGTAAACATTTTAAACTGCTTTGAGTCATTATACTATCACCCTACATGGTCCTTACTTGTCAGCGATCATCTGTACTTCGTGAAACGTCATGTAGGGTGATAGTATAATGACTCAAAGCAGTTTAAAATGTTTACAGAACTTCGAGAGAAGAAATAATCGATTATCAAGGGATTCAAGTAAGTTTTTTTAAATAAATACAATACTATTTCAATCATAACTCATAGTGGGGCCCCCTGTGGTCAAATCATTGCTTGTGAAAGGAGTTTAATGATGCAATGTATATAATAAAACAGTTATTGAATTTGTGGGTTTTTACACGTCAAATGATCAAGGTCTGGGTAAATTGAGTAGTGACGCACCAATATCCATATTGGTGTATCGGTATCAGCTTATCGGTACTAAAATAGAAATATCAGTATCGGTAATTTTGTTGTTGATCTTACTGATATCTAAGGAAACTAGATAAAGAATTTTTTACACCTAAAAATTACGAAAATATCAAAGTTTTGATTTGAAAGTATTGAAAATTAAAATCTAAAAGCAGAAACACTATACAATACACTAGTTTGTTGCATGATATTTTCTTTGGAAACAAATGAATTGAATTAAATTCGAATTAAAGTAGAACTGTCATGATGTCATCTTTGAATTTTGTGAAATGACATAAAATATCAGTATCGGCAAAATATTGGCCCTTCAATATCATATATCAGAATATTGGTGCATCACTAAAATTGAGTGCCAGTGTTGAGTCCTTGACAAGTGAGCTAGATCATCTGGCGTTAGACAAATAATAAAGTAGGCCAAGTTGTTACTGGATAAGCATTGTCTTTATTAACTCATTAAATTGCATCGCACCCTACTCCTAATTCACTCTACTTCATTAAAGTTTACTCAGTCTAACGCCAGACAATTTCACCTGTCAAGAGAAGAGCAGATGGGGCTCATCAAGCTTTGGTCACGGTTAAGGCTATGACTATTGAAGTTAGGCACTAGTCTGTAGTCTTGCTTTGACAATTTCACTATCATGTAGCTTTCCCATTTTGTCTCTATTTTTTGTTCTTGTAATTGCCTTTCTAACTAATGATACATTAGGGGTAGGGCACAATGCAATTTAATGGGTTAACTAGACACATGGGCAGAGAGTCTGATAAACCCATTGAGTGCCAGTGCCAGATCTGGCTGGATCTATTCCTGCATTACAATAAGACATCAGAACATTCACTCACCTATAGTATCTGCTTTGAAGATATGTTGAACAAACAGTATTGGAGACATGCGTTGCTGAACCAAAGTCGATAACTTTCACTCGCAATGGAAACTTATCAGGGTCAACCAGCATGATATTTTCTGGTTTCAAATCAGCATGTATAAGCCCAAGAGACTTGAGTTTCGATAGAGCCATTAAAACCTGCTGAATGATAGGTCGGATTCTCCTTAGGGGCATGGGGCTGAATTTGGATTGCTTCAGGTAATCATACAAGTTTTGTTTTAGCATTTCAAATACCAAACATGTGTGTCCTTTGTGTTGAAAGTATTCGATTGCCCGAACAAAATTGTATGCTTCAGAATTTTCCGCACGCAACCGTGCCAAAATACTGATTTCAACTTGGCCTTGCCGCACATACGATGGGTGATTTTTCAAAATTTTTATAGCTACACACTCGTCTGTGCCTTGTTTCCAGCATTTGACCACTTGGCCAAATGTCCCACGGCCCAGAAATTCTAACACTTCATATCTTGAACGGGAGGTTGGGGAACAAAGAGTTTCATGTTGTACCAATTTATAGTCGCCCTCGCTATTATCTGAGTTTAATTTCTTTTCGTCTTTACGTCTTTCGCTGCCATGTTTACAATGTTTTCCCATCCTTGGCTTTGAATTAAAATCCCTTTGTGAATTAATATTAAAAACTGTTCCCTCTTAAAAATAGGCAAGTAAAAAATATTCGTCGTGTGAGGCCAGCTCAACGAGATTTTTGCTTCGCGGTTTTTCCATTCCGATCTGATTAAAATTTTTGGTCGAACAGTTTTATAATATTACTTGTTTCTATAAAATGGACAAGATACTACATACAACAAAGGCCACATAATTGGCAGTCTTTCCGACCAGCTCCGTTCCCATGTGGAATGGCGAATATTCGAAGCACTAAAAAGCAGAATTGTGAGTGTTAAATACAATTAAATGCTCTATGATAATCCGTAATTTATCAAAACATAAGGCAGCCACGTTTCAAAGGAGATAAATGTTAACAAAAGAGCTGGTGGTTTGGCCGAAATTTCATCTAATAAGATATTCATGAAGCAAAAACGCAAGACAATGATAAATAAATATGGTGAAATTGACACAAAAATTTATCAGAGAACATCGAATTCAACAGCAACTATTAACAGTAACTCATTTTGCAATCTTGTCAATTTCAGTGGAACTTATTTCTTTTGTGCTTCTTTTTATATATCGAAGACAAATTGTCTAGTATATTGACGCTATTAGAACAAGACATGGAATCAATCAGCGAAGCGTCCAGCATAGGAAAAGTTATACTGTACGTCCAAGTCTGAGCCGATACTGATACTATGAAGCGAAAACCTCTTTTACAGAATAAAGCAACGAACAACCTTGTATATTTCACCATTCAGGTAGCAATTATCCGAACACTCTTGTATATTTCACCGTTCAAGTAACAATTATCGGACATTGCGCATGCAGCTTCGTGCTTTAGAATCTTAGAATGCCAAACATCTATTTTAATATATACAAAGCAAAAATTTATAGGCTTCGAAGATATACAGCTATTACACACATATCTTCGAAATTATATTCGCCAAATTCGCTTTCTAACCGTAAAAATAAGACATAAAGGCCCTTACCTTTGAAAATAATGAAATATATGCAGTATCAACGATGTCCAGGCAGACTAGCCTAACAAATTTTGATGTCAAGACAGCACATTTAGTCGACACACAAAATGGACTCGATTCCCAGACCTTTTATACACGCAACGTTCTTTGTATTTTGGTCAGTAAAACGCAATAAAGATAAAACAAGAAAAGCTATAGGATCATCTGCCTGGGTGAACTAAGATCTTCTCTCATTGCTTCGAAATATTGGCCTCATTACCCTCATATTAAAATCCAAGTAAAACAAAGGCTCTCGTCATGTTGTTTACGTCTTTCCGAATTCCGACCTCTCAATTCCGACGTTCAGAATTAGCCTGTTCGCGGGCGTTGTGGCATGACTCTGGGGAAATCGAATCGAAATCGTTATTTGATTGGCTGCCGTGATCATCAATACTGCCGACACAATTAATGCGTGTTTTTTGCGAGAATTACGCGTGAAAATACGCGAAGAGAGAATTATCAATGTTTATCAAATTTGGAATGCGAAATCAAACAATATAAATCGAAGGATATAATATTAATCGTATGAAAAGGTATTGGGACGTTGGGTATATACTTATAAAATGGCATGGTATTTATGAATGACTTTTTATCGATCTACAGTATCATTATGAGTATATTCATTATAACTATGAAAGAATTGGCTAAATGAAATCACATCTATGCATCGCACACGTTGTCGTTGTTTTGTTAAATTGACATATTGTTGCCAGGACTTTGGAGTGACAGCTTTTGCTTGCGTTAAAAACTTGAAGCTTTAAACAATATAGTACATTATGGTCAACACTCAACATGTTGTAGTCTGTAGTCTTTATGCTTTTGTAAATGGAGTTATCTATATAAATTTAAGATATGCCAGGTGTTTTTGTAGCATCTGTATAAATTATAGAATAATTGATTTAAGAAGTTCCTCAGGTTGTAAAACATTTGGTTATAGACTTGCTTTGTAAATGATTGCCACTTGACAGCATGATGGGCTATTCCATTTAATATCGGTACACCCCCTGTCGAGGATACATATTTTTCATGGTTATACCCTTGAAGAATTCCAAACTCAAAACCTTTTACCCCTGAAGAATTCCAAGCTCAAAACCTTTTACCCCTGAAGAATTCCAAGCTCAAAACCCTTTACCCCTGAAGAATTCCAAGCTCAAAACCCTTTACCCCAGATGAATTCCAAACTCGAAACACTTTACCCCTGAAGAATTCCAAGCTCAAAACCCTTTACCCCTGAAGAATTCCAGGGATCCTCGACAAGGGGGGGGGGATATTAAATGGAATAGCCCAATGTAAGGCTATAACTAAGCCAAACCTAAAACAATTTTTTCATCAATTTGTGTCTGGATAAAAAATAAGTAGAGAATTTAAATACAGATGTTTCCTTGTCTGTTGCTATGTGAAACAATGTTGTTTATAGCAATAAGAGTTATTGTTGATCAATAGCAATGCTGATTTGCTAAAAATATACAAGTATTGATTCCATTTCCAAACTATTATACTCTGTGAATATATTGGCAATTAATCCAATTATATATAAATAACATTAACTTTAATTTCTGTATCAAGCCTCCTGGGTATTATTGTTTCCTAAGCATCATTGAGGGGGCACTTGTTCTAAATATATGCAATAAGTCTGGTTACCATTAATTAAAAAATGTCCATATTCAGAGTTACAGTTGTACTGTTTTATTAAAATACTACAGAAATGCAATATATTTCATGATTTTAAGAATTAATTGAATGGGGACTGCATGGTTAAAAGAGGAGGGGACAATGACAGTGTTTTAAATATCGTTCTCTGCTATATTAAAAGACAATGTCAATGTTAAATAACATACTGGGATTATATTCAGGGGACTTAGGTTCAGGGAGGGCGTATATTTGGAATGAGGTGAGCATTATATTCAGAGGTTTACAGTATACAGTTGAAAAAAGCTTGTATTTTCTTGTCATAGACACACATTTCTGGGTGCATATAGAACAGCTTATACGTTGGGTTCTCATGTGGATCCAATGGTAATTTGATATCGCTGCCATCACCAAATATAGTATAGTGTAGCACAGAATTGCCTTGTCACCCTTGTATCATAATCATAGTTTGACATACTATCATGCATGCAGAAATGCCTTGGTCATTCATGTGGAGATATGACTATCAGTATCACGATATAATTAGTTACGCCAAGTAACATGTCGTACACGTCAGGTAGCAGCTGAAATATTTTAATATTTGCCATAATAAGCCCATCATAACCTGTTGGCAAAACAACCAAAACATCTTCACCATTTTACAATGGCCGAGATACATTTGAATGTCTCGTCTTTTAACGAATATTCAAGCTCTCTTTTCGCTAGAACAGCTTTCATAGCTCTTTCAATATTTGCCATTGAATATAATTTAATAGTACTATAGTAGTACGATTTAAAGCACCTTTAAACGTATAAAAAAAACATTTTGTATACTATATTCTGATGAGAATCTGTTCAACAAATATATCGATTGTGAGCGTATGCCCGCGCGAATTTAGTAAGCGGAATAAACATAAGCAATAAAAGCGCATGCGCCATTTATCTCATTTTGTAGTGATGGCCGATACCGAGTACTTGGTAATCGATACCAGCGATACCAAGTCCAGCGGTATCGGTATCGATTACTGACCTGGTATCGTTCGATACTTGCACCCCTTTTTCAGCGCGATTTTAATTTTTCTTAGAATTTTTTTGTCAAACAAAAGACTAAAAAACCGTTAAATTAACTTCATCAAAATAGTGAGCCAAGTGAGGTAAAAAAAATTTTGACTTGCTGTTGGTTTACTTAACACTTACAGCTTTATTTGGATTACATAAAGTAAAACATTTTTTCCACTGACCAACAGTACTGACCAACAGTAAATTCCCGCCATTATCTGATTATTGGCGCCATAGGGCGCGTTATTGTTTGTTATTGTAATTGTATATCATATTAGTATTATTACCTCGGGTCGGTACGACACCGAGGTCTTAAATTCGGCTCCTATTTTTTTTTTCTTGTTTTTTTTCTTGTTTTTTTTGTTGTTTTCCATTTGTGTCGAGCCGCGCGCGTAGTCGAAGATCGAAGAGCCTGCGGAGGAGACGACAACATCCGGTAAATAAGTGTACTTCCGGCAAGCATCGGCCAAAGCGAAACGGAACGCGAAGCTGTCCTTGCACAAAATCCATCAGAATTGTTGATTTAAAACCAGAAGATGTGATAATTTTGACATACATGTTTAGCTGGATAACTATTCTCGAGTATATGTTGATATAATGCACAATACTTCGTATGCATAGCATGGGAATACCGCGGCCAACTTTCACTTGTTATCTATTATAATTACTGACCCGAATCAAAAGTAATTATTTTCGGCTGGAAGACTACTGTACGTTGCTGCTTGTGGGGACCGTATGACAATGAACCTATCCAACGTTACACTAGACATTTGTGAGGACATGCATATAGACATAACCATAGGCACTGTAGTGCATTGTGATAGAACAGATTTCAGTTTAATTAATCGCCCTAAATTAAAACCTCCACAAGCGGAGGTCAATTATAGTGTTCTAGTTTACATATCATTAATGATAAGGTTTACTCAAATAGCGTATTGGATAAACACGGGAATAGAACTTATGGTGTATTCTGCACATGCGTATATCTAGGATAAAATCCCACAAGCGCAAACGAAACTATTTCTCTATAAAATTGAACTGAAAAGACTCACAGCGACCGTTTCCAACAGTGCTTCAGGCACCCGACGACACCGTATGGGGGGCCTTTAGCACTGTCACCTTCTCATCTTGGGATGTTCACGTTATCGCGTGTACATGTCAGGGTGACGAAGATGCATTATTGCTAATAATGCATATGTCTGTGTGCACTGATGCCCGCTGCATTATTTTTAATAATGTTGTGTGCTATTTTAACGCGTACATAGAATATGACGCGTATAAACTATAAACATTTACCCCTGAGCCGGAATTTCCCTATACAACCAAAAAGGCCGCTCCCGTTTTTCAGTAGAACGTTAAATGAAAACTTCTCGACATTCGCTGATATAATGCAGAGAGAAAACAATAGGTTTGATGAGGGCCAGTAATTATTGTCAATAAAATATTAAAACGGAGCTTTGATTAACTGATTCACCATTTATACTAGTGAACTATTAAACTATCGTGATTTACACAATTTTTGGATATTTACCAGACGATCCCCTATCCACCGACCCGAGGTTAACGCCGAGTCGGCGTCTTGTTTGCGATGAAAAGGAGTGCTGCCTGGCGATATTTTGATCAAGACGACGAATCTGACATAAGTAAAGTATCTTGCACCATTTGCGGGGAAGTTTTAAGCCGTGCAAACAACATGTCAAACTTGTTCAAGCATTTGAAATGTAAGCACAACGCGGAGTACAAAACCGTGGACGCAGAGAAGAAAGAACAGGAAAAATCACAGGCAAACAAAAGAAAGGCTACTCCAAAGCAAATGACCATGCAATCGGCACTCGGAAGAGGAACAACTTACCCTATCTCTTCGAAACGGTGGGGAGACATAACAGAATCATTGGTAGGAATGATCGCCAAGGTAAGTGTATCGTAATTTTTAAACAATATATTTTGTAATACTTTCTGTAATAAATGGTAGTTATATTCATTATTAATATATTACTTTACGCTGTATTATTTAATATTATCTTAGCATTGTAGTATAATATTATGTTCGTCTATTGTTACTATATTATGACCAATAAGGCAATATTGTTTTGCTGATTATTTTTAATAGGACATGCAGCCTCTTTCTGTTGTTGAGAATGAAGGATTCATTAAATTTGTTAAGGAGTTGGATCCGCGGTATCAGCTACCTAGTCGTTCTACTATCACAAGGTCACTACTTCCAAAAAAGTATGAAAAACTAAAGGATGCTGTAAAACGTGAACTGACGCAAGTAAAACATGTTGCTCTGACAACAGATCTGTGGACTTCTAATCAAACTTTAAGTTATCTCACTCTTACCTGCCACTTCATTGACCACGAAATGCAATTGTGTTCAAAGGTCCTTGAAACATTGTACGTACAGAAGGACCACACTGCACCAAACCTTGCAGAAGAATTGAAAAATATTGCAAAAGAGTGGGAGATAACTCAGAAGATCTGTTGCATTATCACAGATAATCAGGGGTTTCAGAATAAGCCGGTGGCCGGCAGAGTTCCGCCTGCTACTTGAACTTTTACCGCCGGCTACTTTTCGTCTGGTCACAGGAAAAATTTTATATACAAAAGTACAAGCGAACCAACACGATGTTTGTTATGTTCCAATTGGGATTCAAGTTAGCCTCGAATTTCCCTGAAAATCAATTGACGGCAATGGCGTTAAAAATTGCCGTAGAACGTAACAGCTGCTACGGCAATTTTGTCAGTTTCCACGGCATTTTTTTTTCAAATTGCTGTAATAAAAATTTAATTTTATTGTTACAGACTTTGGATTGCTGACAAGCTAGAAACATGTTTACGTATTTCTTTAGTGGGTTTTTTTTAAGAAAACTGAGACTAAAATGGTAATTTACGGATGATTTGATGACATCTGAATTCAAGTATCAAAATAGTAATGCACAGTGAACATGAGTTTAAAAATTATACTATACGGCAAAAAATTGGCGTCATTCATGCGGCAACGATCCACAGCATTTTGTTCTCCCTCTAAAGCAATTGCCGCGATAAAATTCAAGCCCTGAATTCAAGCAAAACATCACTTATTTTGGAAGATCAATAAGATAAATTATAATACATATAGTACCAAACCTAGCAAAAGAAAGAAGTGGTGAAGTGAAGTTCATTACGTACATAAGAGTATAACATCATATGATTAATGATTTCGGACTCATAAAATAATTACTATTACTGTGGTGTACATTGTCATTCTGTTCATGCAGCTGTAAAAATTAAACTACAAGTAGCACATTAAAGTACATTGTCACTTATAAGTATGAGGGCGGACCATTTGATTTTTGAAGGGGGGGGGGTGGAAGATTTCGAAAAAAAAATTCCTGCAATCCAAGGAGAAAGAAAAAAAAACGTGCAGCATACAATCGAGGAAAAAAATATCATGCAAAAGAAAGCGCTCAAAAAAAAAATTCCTACATGTAAATCTACTGACGTTCTTCACTTCAGTATTGTGTCCACAGGCTTGCAAGATTTTGCATTTTTGAGCAGGCACATTTGCTTAAAAGAACACTGGGTAAACAGTGGACAACATCACAGGGATTCTGGCGCCTTTGGAGTCTATAACATACGATAGCCAGTGGCGTTCCCTGGCAAAATTGTTGCCCCCCCCTGAGAAAATCTGGGCTTAAGATATGTACAAGTTTATAAGTTATTTATACATATCTAATATGCATGGTAGAAAAAGTATTTTTGGATGGTTGTGTCTGTGTGCGTTGATAACATAGCTCCAAACTGTTAAAGCTTCAAAGGCCCATCTACAGGATGCAAGTTGAACGTACTGTATATACGACGATTTTAATGCGAAAATGCCAGTTTAGAGAGTCTAGATTTTAAAAAATTTCTGAAGAGGATGCAACCCGATCCCCAGCAAGCTATTTGTATGAACGATTGAAAAGCTACAGAGCTATATTTGGTGGAAAATTGTTGTTTCAGAGGGCAGTTAAAAATCGCATTATTGAAATCTTGTTTTATTACATATTAATCAAAGCTCATGTTGTGATTTTCCCTTGTTTAAAATAAAGGACAGTAAGTGTTCCTTAGGCTTAGTACAGCAAAGTTGTTGGACGAATCCATGGCTGAAAACGCAGGAAATAGCATTTCCGAGGTTCAAATTTTAAAATTTTCTCGTGGGAGCATGCCCCCGAAACCCCCAAGGTTACAGGTCATTCATATACTGTACCTCCCCAATTTTCGATTACTCTACTCTATCCCTGCATGTTTTAGGTTTTGGTGCAGTTATACATATTTTGTAGGTAAACCTGCACGCTTTAGTGTGGGGAACATTAAGACATAACCATATAAAATAAAGCACAGTGAAAATTCCTTGGCCACTCTTGGGATTCAGGCTTGGCCTCCTCTGACTGAAAACCCTGGCTAACGTCTCTGACGATAGCTATATGAAAGCCTTAAGTTACTGTAAGCAGTTATTATGAGGGGCAAAAAAAATATCCTGCCGCGAAATATATTGGGGGGAAAATCTTGCGCTGCATTTTTACAGGAAAAAAATATCTGTCTTATTCCACTGGGCGGAAAAAAATTCTTGCACAGACTGAATCTTCCAACCCCTCCCCCCCCCCTCCCCCTCAAAAATCTAATGGTTCGCCCCTAAATGCAAATGCATCTAAATCTAACATGTTAATAGTTGTACTTTGTCTTTTTACGTATTCTATATTATTTGATTGTTAATTTGCGGCGAAAAATTTTTACATTTCCATGCGAGGGCACGCTCCCCTCCCCGCGCGATTTTTTTAACTATCAGTCACAGCCGGCTACTTTCTTGGTACAACCGCCTACTTCAAATCATTCTGAAACCCCTGCAGTGAAAATTCCTTGGCCACTCTTGGGATTCAGGCTTGGCCTCCTCTGACTGAAAACCACACTTATCCACACTTAGCTGAGCTATTCAAGAAGTATCTATGCATCCCGGCAACATCAGTTCCATCCGAAAGAGCGTTTTCAAAAGCTGGTGAATTGGTTTCAAAGAAAAGGTCAAACCTAAAGCCCTCAAACATTCACATACTTCTATTTCTGAACAATAATACGTGAACAGCACGACTGTAGTAAGAAAAAAAGTTTATTTGTTGAAATTCCTTACCGTTTTTGTGTAATAACGTTAAAGTTTTGGAATAAAAGATAAGTGAGAAAAAAATTGGTGCACGGTATCGAAAGTGACCGATACCAGCAATATGAGTAATCATTTCCGGTATCAAAAATAGAAATTTTGTGTTTATTTTGGTATCGAAATAGGTATCGGTATCGACCGATACCGATCTTCAAAGTATCGGTATCGGTATCGAATTAAAATTCCTGGTATCGCCCATCACTATCATTTTGGATAAAAAAATTCGATTTCCCCAGCCGGTCATGCCACAACCTAACCCGCGAACAGGCATACTCTGGGAACGAGATTGTGGCTGATTAGCAGAGGAGGTTCGACAAGCAGGCCGCAAAGCATCATGGGCTCGAGTGCCTAATTCCAGGCGTGGCTTCAATGACTCTTTGACTGTCGTGGAGTGAACATCTCTCTGAGTAAACAAATATGGAAGCATTCGAAATACAAGATTGTCAGGCTGCAAAACTTCGTGAAAATAGTATGTTATTGCTGTATTGTTGCGATCCTAATTATGACTTGTGTTTTACTATACCAAGTTTACCTTATATTAAATTGCATGGGACGTGCTGTCATTTTAGCTTTATAAATAATCCGTCTGTCAAAGCGAAGGAATTGTGTTATATTCCCAATAGCGAGGCCCTTCTTTCTAAGTTGGATGGCGTTAAATATCTGTGTATCATCAACGTGAAAACAAGCGCAGTATTTAAGGTTAGTATATTACAATGCATTTAATACAGTTGACTTGTTATTTGGTCAAATTTCCGCTTTGCTGTTTTCAATATTGTACTGTAATGGGCTATTCCATTTAAAATCCGTACACCCCCTGTCGAGGATACATGTTTTTTATGGTTATACCCCTGAAGAATTCCAAGCTCAAAACCTTTTACCCCTGAAGAATTCCAAAATTCCAAGCTCAAAACCCTTTACCCTGAAGAATTCCAAGCTCAAAACCTTTTACCCCTGAAGAATTCCAAGCTCAAAACCCTTTACCCCTGAAAAATTGCAAGCTCAAAACCTTTTACGCCTGAAGAATTCCAAGCTGAAAACCCTTTACCCCTGAAGAATTCCAAACTCTGAAAAATTTCAAATCAAACCTCCTTACCCCTGAAGAATTCCAAGCTCAAAACCCTTTACCCCTGAAGAATTCCAACCTCAAAACACTTTACCCCTGAAGAATTCCAAGCTCAAAACACTTTACCCCTGAAGAATTCCAACCTCAAAACACTTTACCCCTGAAGAATTCCAGGGATCCTCGACAGGGGGGAGTACGGATATTAAATGGAATAGCCCAATTTTATAAATACACTGTATAAATTATGGCGTAATATTTCTAATAATTTAACCCTTTAGTTTGACCCTACTCCTGATGAGTTTGCTAACGAAAACACCCAGCATATGCTTTTGATTTTGGATTTCGATGATGATCATATATTGACAGCGAATAGAATTGATGATGAACATTCAGATGATGAACATTGGTTCTCAGATGAGTCTGAAGGTATATTGTTATTCAGTTATTTGTATGGTTTTATAAATTTTTGCTGAGTGTAATGCCTGTTTGTATCTAGTTGTGGGTGGTTGTTTAAATGTGCAAACTGTAATTTAATATTTTTTTAATTTTCATCTAAATATTGCTGTTTGTATATTTTTGCTAATTTTAGAGATGACAATGTATCAAATAATAATTTCCTTGTTTAATATGATTTTGTAGAAAGAGATTTACTTGAGTGGTTGGCTGGTCTTGAACCTGTTCAAGATGTATATGATAATGAAAGAGGTGATCAAGGTGATAGGGCAGAAAGTGATGACAAGTTAAGTGATGAAGACGAAAGTGATGGGGAGGAAGAAATCGCCCACTCTGTACCATTCAAGTGCATCGGTGCTGCTCATGAGAAAAACTATTGACATCATTTGGAAAATAAAGGCATAATACCTCGCTCTTCATGAACAAGATAAAACAGTGAATTCAATGTAAGAATACGGCCAGCACCGTTGAATCCAAGGGACCCAAGTGCAATGGTCAATTCCAGCTTTTAGGTTATGCATGCAGGGGGTGATGGGAAGTAAGGTATCATATTGCTGATAATGCTGAAAAAATAGAAATGGTGGCCATGTAAACATGGAGAGGTAGCTATTGTAAATATTGAAATATTTTGGTTGTTTAGGCAGTTTATTAAAATGTTTCAGCATAATCAGCAATATGATACCTTACTTCCCGTCACCCCCTGCATGCATAAATTAAAAGCTGGAATTGCCTATTGATCTAGACTATGGAACTGTATGGACACATGTTGGTTATATTGCTTCTGAACTATGCAAGTATTTGCACCCACTAATTGCTGCAGGAGATGTTGTGGATGTCTATGTTCAGTGTATCAAGTATAGGGTTGACTTTTTTAATTAAAAATAGGATTTTATCCAAAAATTTTCATAAAGACACCTGGGGCCGGTTGTTCAATGGTGGGTTAGCGCTAACCCTGGGTTAAAATTTAACCTGCTGTTTTAGTTTGTGTACTTCTACACATAGATCTGTGTATTTCAAAACTTCGGAGAAGTAAACTTCTATCGATCCAGACAAGATCTCTGAAGAAATATTTCCAAATTTATAGAAAAGCTGTCAGGATCGGAAGTTTGCTTCGAATTTTAGGTTAACCATGGGTTAAACTAACCCAGCTTTGAACAACCGGCCCCTGGTGAGTGGAGACTCGAGTGGTAGGAAAAAGCATGAGTGTATGTTGACAGATGTTTTTTATATAATAAATAGCAACTACCAAGCTATGTTTAGCAAGTTAATAGTGCATTTATTTCAATTGGCTAACTTTTTTAGTTTTTCCAGCATTTTTTAAACAAACCATAGGTTATGAATGATAACTGGGTATATCTAATTAAACCAATCTGTCATGTACACTCATGTAAATAAGACTAAGTACATAAATAACTGTAAAAAATGTACTTTAGTAAATAAATGAATATTTATTCATACACTTGACCTACTATGTGAGTATTTTTTCAGATTAAAATTAATGCAACAATAAAACAAGAAGATGTCTATTTATATAATATTTATTAAGTTGATCAGAGATCCCACTTCAGCTCAGAAACCACTGCCAGCAGGGAAAGATCCCACAATAACATGCCACTTAATTTGTTATATGATACATAAAAAACTTATTTTATTGCTTTAAAACAAGTGAAACTCTCTGCTGGCTTGAAATGGGCTGTTATGACACTGATTTGTCCATGCTGAGGATTCCGCAGCTCGATTTGCCACAAAAACCCCAGTATCAGGCGATCAGCTCGTCTTGAAATACGTACACGATCCAGTCGCGTCGGTCAAAGACAACAAAACTTTGAAAATCGCACAGATATAAATTCTAAAAAAATATTAAAACAACTCCTAAGTCTTCTAAATAATATTTTAACACTTTAACAAAAATTCATTGAAAATATCATCTTTGATGGCGCATTTTCTTTCCAAGGTATTAGACGCCATTTTAGCGAACGTCGAGTTGACAATAGTCACTTCAACGGTCAATATCTCGAAAACTGCCGGGGGATCACCGGGATCATTCCAGCAGATTTAAAGCTTATACTTTTGTCTTGACGACTACCAAAAAATAAAGAAAATCGAACCATGGGAATTCTAGATATTTCATTTTAAACATTGTAAACATATTCAGACTTGAGTCAACACGTCGCGGGGAGTCGACTAACTTCAAACATCAAAATAACATTGAAAATAACATTTACCTCAGAGATTTCTGCAGATATCACCAGATCTTTAGCAGTAGTACTACTACACTTGAAATTTTGCAAGAAAATTTTAATATTAATATTTTTTTCAGATTTATTTTCCGTCGAATGCAAATTTTTCTGTCCAAATTCTGCAGATAACACGATGGAAAATAGAGCGATCTCATTGGTCGAGAGCTCACGTGACAACTCGCTAATTGCTTGTCGTACCTCCTCTGGCTGATTAGGCAACCTCGTACCCCACTATGAGTTATGATTGAAATAATATTCAGGGTTGCCAGTTTGGCGTTAAGAGAGCCAAATTTCTCGATTTTGGCTTCTTTTGATTTCGTTTGGCTACTAAAAATTTCGTTTGGCTTCTATTTTTTGGCTCTTTTTGGCTTCTTTTTGAATAAATACTGAAATAAGCAACTTTTCAAAAATAGTCTGCCATCCATCAGTAAAAGTTAGTTATAAACTCTGCCAGTGCTTCCATTTTTAAAATCAAAATTTCTCATTTTTGTCATCAAAATTTCTCTAAATTCCTTAGATTGTATATGTTATTTCCTTGAAAATTCCTTGAAATTTCATGAAGCAGTTTGCAGTGATTTTGTAGCAATGCAAAGGATTTAATTAATTTTCAAGGCACAAAATAGCACAATTAACAAAGATGTGGGCAAGCTAAAAACCACAGGCTATTATACTATTTAAAATTAAATATTTGTTATGAATTTTACAAGAGATATCTTTACATTGATATAATTAATTAACTATTCACAGCATTTGGCGCCAAAAGTTACTAAATCCCATCGCTCAAAAACTTTTGGAAATTTTCGGAAGCATGAGGAAAAGTTAAAAACAGATTTTGAATTGAAGATAATTGCTAATTCACTCAAAAATTAAAAAAATAGTGAAACCTTCTTCTTCACTAATGCCCTTGGATGAATATTTAAGTTTTTCAGAAAAAATCCTTAGATTTCCTTAGATTTTTTCTCTTCCTTAGATTTTCCTTTTCGACAGAACAGCTGGGAAATTTGTTGCGCATGCGCCAGATTTCCATTTCAAACTTGAAGATTTCCCCGAAGAAATATTACGAGATGTTCGTGGTTGTTGTATATTTCTGTTGAATGCCTGTTTTATGGCGTCAAAAGTCCGCCAAAATTCAACCTTGTTATTTTATGTTGAACATTTTTCATTTCTTTGGACTTTTTGTATTCTCCATTCAAGTTTGCATTTCGTTCATTGAACTTTTTGCATTCGACATTCAAGTTTGTATCTACATTCATAAGTTCTCATTTTATTCGACTGTTCGCATTTTACATTCAAGTTTGCATTTTATTCATTAAACTTTTTGCATTCGACATTCAAGTTTGTATTCTACATTCATAAGTTCTCATTTTATTCGACAGTTCGCATTTTACATTCAAGTTTGCATTTTATTCATTAAACTTTTTGCATTCGACATTCAAGTTTGTATTCTACATTCATAAGTTCTCATTTTATTCGACTGTTCGCATTTTACATTCAAGATTACATTTTATTCAAGTTTTTCAATTGTGCATCCAACCGCAATCCACGAGGCATGAGTGATCGTGGGCTCAAACGATGGTTCGCGCGGTTTTTAGCATAGCATTTTCACGAAATCGATCGCAAGCACTGATCGCAAGTCGGAAACTTTATAAAATATTTCGCACTTGGCATCAGATATATATTCATGTCGAGAAGAAGTGAAAGAAGCGAAGTTAACGAAGTGCGAGCATTTTTGATGCAGGCAGCCCATAGACTTTTGTCGTTGGAAACGACTTCAGCACCTGGTAAGTCAATATTTAATACAATCTGTTTGAAAACCCTGTATTGATGTATTCGACTATTTAGTAAAGTTGTTTATTCGTCAAGGGAGAGTCTTGTACTCTAATAGGTTAATATGAAATTAAATATCCATGTATCAGGTTGATCTTGAAATGGACAATATATACAGATGGGTGCTCATAGGCAGGGTTATACATATAAAGTGAAGTACAAATAATTAATGTGTTTATATATTTCCCTATTGAAACAAAGTTTACGTCACGTGTGACAGTTGATAATATTTTTTGGTTTTCATGTGAAACAGCTCTGAGGATGATGCTTTTCAAATGGAAAAGGGTGCGCACATCCTATACTGCAGTCTATATCTAATCATATTCTTTAAAGCAATTTTATGATTTTTTTAAATAAAAGACCTTTCCATGAGACCTATGGCACAGAATAAAGACACGCGGAAGGTCGACTCGCGTAACCGCTTCCATGGGCCTGGCCAGTGCACTTATAAGAGGCATTACCCCCCTGGACGTCCGCCATTTTGAATATTTTCAGGGTGGTAAATGCCTCTCAAATGCGCACTGCCCATGGAATCAGCATTTTGATGACGAATTAGGCCAAAAAAAAATATGTGGGTTTCCGGTTTCTTCTTATAAAAACTTAGGTAGGGTAGGTCGGTTTTAACTTTTTTTTTTAATTTTTTTTTTTTAATTTTCCGAACAAGCGGACGCCATTTTGTTTAGTCAGTGCTTCCACATCCAAAGATAAATTTCCCTAATATTGCCTCAAATTTCAATTTTCCACAAACTTTTTCCTCTAAGTGGAAACACTTACAACCATGATCCAATAAAAAAGTTTAGGGTCGGGATTTCGACATCCAAAAGCTAGGTAGGGTCGGGAAACCGGAAACCCACATATTTTTCTTTTTGGCCTTACAGTTACGCGAAAATCATATGAAAATCATAGGGAAAACCAGGAAGTCGACCTTATGTGTGTCTAATATTCTGTGCCTATGGTAAACCTTGTTACTTATTGTAAAGTATAAAACTTTATATTACATTATATCTCAGGGGCCTTTTATGGCAGGGTATAAACTCATTATAAAGTGCTTTTTATCAGGGAACTTACTGGGGGTGCATACCTGAACCAAATAATGACTTGGCAGGGCATTTTTCAAACAAAAAAGATAATATTGGGGGCCAATTTAACACTCAGACTTGGGACTTGTATTTAAAAAAAAAATCTAACTATAGCCATACTGTGGGTCCTCATTGATGATGATAGCTGGATTGATAAACAATTACAGATACATCCTGTTTGATGACCATATATAAAGAAAAAGCACACCCTGTCGTGTCAATTAGTTGTATCTATCCCAGCTCTTTTTTTATAATTTATTCTGCTTGTGGGCAATATAATAATAACACATCCTTTAACTCAACTGAATGTCTTTAGCAATACATTATGGGTATTGTAACTCATTTTTGTCTATAATTAACTTTATAAAAAATATTTATAATCTGTTTTATATGTAAATGATTTACAGTAAGTAATTTTTATTTAGCTAATCAATCTACAAGTGGTAACACTATACCAAGTAATCAATCCCAAAATGCTCTTATTGGCCAATCATCATGCCAGTCACCTAGAGCACCTATGCAACCAGGACAACGTGCTGTTACTCAAAGTGTTCCGCCAGTTTCTGCTCTTGTAGAACAGAGAAGGCTTTTTAATTTTGGTAGAAGATCACAATCACCAAATACAGCTGCCAAGCCAAGTAAAAAGAAAAAACTACCCACCTGCACCCTCAAATTTATGTGCCTTGCATCAAAAGATGGCCAGCGCCCACCAACTTCAATCAGGGAACGAACAGAATTAGCAAATGCTGGATTAGGAGACAAGAGTATTACATTCACACAAAATGGCGAGTCTGTTTACAGGTTACTATTGGAAAAATTCCCAAAGCTGGAAAATGCTGGAGGGTTTGATCTATCACTGTTTCAAAGAAGTGTAGGTGATGATTACGGTTTTCACACCATAAGCCCACCACATACTCGTACTAGACTTAAAGACATTTGTGGCCAAGCAAAAATGTACATTAGACCTCTTCAACAAGATATTGATCTTGAAGTGAGAAATGTGGAAATAGATCATTCCGCTGACGTATATTATATTTTTATATATATTTAAAAAACTCATTAATAATTCATATATAATTCATATATAATTCATAAAACTCATTAATAATTCATATATAATTCATATATAATTCATATATATATAATTCATATATATATATAAATATATATATATATATATATATATATATATATATATATATATATATATATATATATATATTTATATATATATATATATATATATATATATATATATATATATATATATATATATATATACCGGGTGTCCCAAAAAAAAGTACTCCGGTTTGATTCGTAATAACTTCTAAACAAATAAAGCTTTTAACGAGAAATAACTTGCGTCAAATATAGGAAGGACTAACTTAGATTGTGATATATTACAGTTGTATTTCACTTAAAAATTCACGGAGATATTAATGTTTAAATTCGGGAGCATATTTCTGGATGTGTCTGAAATATGCAAAAAACGGCGTATCAAATATTAATCAAGATTTTCCCGACTGAAACATGCACTATTACCAGTAAATAAAATGACACTTGACAAATTGTTTATTATGAAACAAAGTATTATTATCTACAAAATACAAGCAAGTAAGGATTTATTCGTCCGAAATCCGCGTGTGTTCCTAGCACGAATACGTTTCCTTATTTCATGAGACCACTGCATTGTGAAGGATCGTCATGGATCGTTCGTAGTTCTGAATTAGGGTATGTTGTCACAATGGAATTGTGAATTTTCTAACTTCACATTGAATGAACTTTATAACTTCTGCAGCGTTCTGAAATCTTGTTAAGAACACCCAAACTCTTTTGCCTTTCTTAATCTTGGCAAGTTCAGAATAAACTGAGAATGAAACACAATCAAACTATGCAAACAACTCCATAAGTAAAGACATACAGTAACAATCAACTCCCCATTGCACATAATTTCGAACGTTCATATTTCAGGAAACAATGAGTTAACACTTACATGTAAGATGTCTAAATCTACGCCATATCCCTTACAAACCCTAACGACAATTCGCTGAAATACAAGTTAGCCTGATATGTCATTAAGCAAACAAACGCTGGAGTTAATATTTGATATGCCGATTTTCGCTAATTTTAGACACATCCCAAAATATGCTCCCGATTTTGAACATTAATATCTCCGTGAATTTTTAAGTTAAACACAACTGTAACATATCAAAATCTAAGTTAGTCCTTCCTCTATTTAATGTTATTTCTGTTTGATAGATTTACTTGTTTAGAAGTTATTATAAATCAAACCGGAGTACTTTTTTTTGGGACACCCGGTATATATATATATATATATATATATATATATATATATATATATATATATATATATATATATATATATATATATATATATATATATACGACAAGAACGCCATTCAACTTAATACGCATGATCTCTGCATGTCACAGATTTAAATCAGCGCAAAGGCCTGTAGGCAATTGTGCCCCAAGCTCACTACCAGCAACTGCGGACAGCTGTTTCGCCCTTTTGGGGCTCGTCAGCGCAATGTAGCTGATAGTGAGCTTTTCATCCGAAAAGTATTTATACAACCAACAATGAGATGATGGATGTGGGACACATAAATTATATATACGACAAGAACGCCATTCAACCTAATACGCATGATCTCTGCATGTCACAGATTTAAATCAGCGCAAAGGCCAATAGGCAATTGTGCCCCAAGCTCACTACCAGCAACTGCGGACAGCTGTTTCGCCCTTTTGGGGCTCGTCAGCGCAGTGTAGCTGATAGTGAGCTTTTCATCCGAAAAGTATTTATACAACCAACAATGAGATGATGGATGTGGGACACATAAATTATATATGCGACAAGAACGCCATTCAACCTAATACGCATGATCTCTGCATGTCACAGATTTAAATCAGCGCAAAGGCCTATAGGCAATTGTGCCCCAAGCTCACTACCAGCAACTGCGGACAGCTGTTTCGCCCTTTTGGGGCTCGTCAGCGCAGTGTAGCTGATAGTGAGCTTTTCATCCGAAAAGTATTTATACAACCAACAATGAGACGATGGATGTGGGACACATGAATTATATATACGACAAGAACGCCATTCAACCTAATACGCATGATCTCTGCATGTCACAGATTTAAATCAGCGCAAAGGCTTATAGGCAATTGTGCCCCAAGCTCACTACCAGCAACTGCGGACAGCTGTTTCGCCCTTTTGGGGCTCGTCAGCGCAGTGTAGCTGATAGTGAGCTTTTCATCCGAAAAGTATTTATACAACCAACAATGAGATGATGGATGTGGGACACATAAATTATATATACGACAAGAACGCCATTCAACCTAATACGCATGATCTCTGCATGTCACAGATTTAAATCAGCGCAAAGGCCTATAGGCAATTGTGCCCCAAGCTCACTACCAGCAACTGCGGACAGCTGTTTCGCCCTTTTGGGGCTCGTCAGCGCAGTGTAGCTGATAGTGAGCTTTTCATCCGAAAGGTATTTATACAACCAACAATGAGATGATGGATATATATATATATATATATAGAACAATTAGTGTTTGAACTATTTTAATCTATTAACATTGTATAGTACTTTAAACTACGGGACAATAAGTCAGTTGCATGCATGTTTGAAATATTTTAATCTATTAACATTGTATAGTACTTTAAACTACGGGACAATAAGTCAGTTGCATGCTTTTGCATATTTTTATATACATTAGCATACTCATTGTAAATTTAGTATTTTAATTAGTTTCATATAAATAGGAGGAAATATTATTGTAAAAAAACATTCCACCCAAGAAGCCGTAAAAGGCGAAACGTTTGGAAAATATACTTTGTGTATTTTTATGTCTGAAGAAATCTTATAGCCAAGTTCATATATGTATATATATATATATATATATATATGTGTATATATATATATATATATATATAT